TTCAAAATCTGGACATGGAAATTTAATGTCAATTACATATTTATTTCCAAAATACCCTTCTATTGTTGTTATGAAATTATATTACTACCCCTCATATCTAGAGAGAGAAACCCATATATATCAGCCCTTCTTCCCAGATGAACAACCAACAAACCTGAGGAATTCATCCAAAACTTCTAATCATTTGCACTTTTCTAATGACTAAATGGATTTGCTATTTTTTTTTTTTTTTTTAAATGGGTTTGCTAGTTAGGTGGGTGAAAGAAATAGATGACCAATCAAAAATAAAGAATTGTTTTTGCCATTACAGATGAACACATTCAGAAGGGGCTTGTTTAGGGGTGTGAGAGAGATTGATAATGAAATAGGTTTTGTTTTGTTTTTTTTTTTTTTTTTTATGTTGCTCTGGAACAATTGAGACTTCTAGTCTTGCGGGCCTTTGGTCACCATTAAAAGTTATTCCACTACATGGAGAGAGGGCCTTTCATCCAAAGAAAAGAAAAAAACTCGAGGCATTCAAGCACAGGCGATGCAGAGGCAGAGACCCATGACAGTAATAGAAGGGTATTTTAGAAATAAAAAAATGATATAAATTAAATTTCCATGTCCACCTCGTACTTTGAGAAAATTTCATTAATTTAGAAAACTTAATTTGAACTCCATTCTTTTGTCTTTTAACTCACAAAACTCCATTTTTATGGAATTATCCCTTTATATTATAAGCTGTAAAATCTAATAGTATAGTGATTGTTTAATGGTAAAAATAATTTATTATTTTCTCTTTCATCTCACCCAGGGGCGAGGCCAGAAATTTGTTTCGGGGGGCGCTGTATTAAAGATGATAAATTATATTTTTTTCAAGTGAATAGTGATATAAGACAATAAGTCAAAAAATAGAACTGTAATGATGGTGGAATAATAGTATTTAATAATTTAAAAAATAATTATTTAAAGAAAATGGAAACATAAAATATCGACCTTAAAGAGTCCTTTTAGCAACAAATTTAATTACCAAACTTTGAAGAGAAAAAAAATAAATTAGTTTGAATAAAGGAATGCAACTTTTTTTTTAAAGAGAATATAAAAAATAAATAAATAAATAAATAAAGAAGAAGAAGAAGAAGATGATGATGTGGAGGAGGTGGAGGAGGAGTAAGAATGAAAAGAAAGGAAAAATTAAAGAAATTTTTTTAAAATAATTATTTTAGTAGGCATTTTTGTAAAATTTTATAAATTATAGGCCTATTTGCAATACTTTTTTATAAATTATTCGCCTATGTGTAATAAAAATTAATGGCCATTTTCTAGAAAAAAAATTATTTTAGAGGGGTATTTTGAAAACTTTTTTAAATTATAGGTCATTTTGTAATTAAAACTAATACAATATTTTATTTAGGAATTTCTCATTCATCGCTTCTTTTAGCCATTCCAACCAATTTTTTTATTTTTTACATAAAAATTAAACGAGAGACACATAGCATGTCATGTTTTCGAGCACAAGCTCATCCATGACATCTAGATTCACCATTGGTGTTGGAAAAAAAAAACTTCGACATAAAAAACTTCAACATCACATCAAGATAAAATAAAGAGTAATAATTTTAAAATTTTAGAAAGAAAAGTACGGAAATTATTCAATCATCAGCAAGACAAAAGAAATAAATGAAATGTCTCTTACTACTTTTATTTATTAATATTAATAAAAATATATGTGATAATATCATGACATGCTATCAAAAGTAAAGAGTAGTTTTCTCCTTGTAGGTAAGGATGAAATTATTGTTCTTTATTTTTACTTTATTAGTCAAGATAAATGTTTAATTACTCATTTTTGTTTTAATTTTTTCTTTTATTTTATACAATGGAGAATTTTTATTTTTCTCTTTTTTAAATTTTTACAGAGATAAATAAATTAATATTAATTTAAATGAAACATCGACCTAATTATTTTTACGAAATACAAACCAAACTAAAAGAATACGTGGTCAAGCTAGAACTAAGATTTTATAGACTAACCTTTTAATATGTCAAACTCATGGGTTACATTTATATATATATATATATATATATATATATATATATATATATAGTAATGACCTATTGTTCCTCAAGAAAATTCTTCTGCATTTTCTGACCATTAGATGTGTAATGGTCACATTCCAAACCCACCTATATGATTTCCTTTTAATACAAAACTACTATAATTATTTATAGTTTCTAAATTTAATATTTACTAATACCACTAATTACAACAATAAAAGGTAAGTACTAAACAAATAAAATAGAAATTGCTTCACCTCTTGAACTAATAGGAATTTTTGTTTTTTTTTTTATGTCTTTGTTGTTACTTTATATATTAGTTGCCTTTTATACCTATTTTACTTACCAAAAAAAAAGTTATAGTACTGAAAAAAAAATTATAATGATAGTATATAAATAGCAGTATTAAAGAAAATACTAAGAAAAATAACTAATTTACAAAAGAAATCTGAAATTTGATAGAATAATAATATTTTTTGTCCTAAATCTCCTTATTACGTCAATAAATTTTTGTTATTATAATAAAACTAGAAAAAAGATATTGTGTTTGCAATTAGTTAGAATCTGGAAAAAAATAAAACAAAATTAACAAGAAATGTGAGACAATTAGGGTTAGATAAAAATAGATTGAATTTTTAATTTTTAAATAGCTTGCAGTTAGGGTGGTATATAACAATTTAAACTATTAAATTTTTTATGAGTGTAGTATTGTGCAAATCACAGGTTACTTTAAGTTGATCAAGTAGATAAAAGAATAGAGATTTTATTTTTAGTTTTTTATTTTTTTTAGTCCATGTTTGTATGGCAATAGTGTAATTTTAAATTTATTTATTTATTTATTTTTTTACACTAAAATAAATAGACAATGTCAACTTTAGTATCAAGTCATGGATGCAATTTTCTAACCCTTATAATTTTTTTTAAACGAGAGGGGAAACAATTTATATATTTATTTGTTTAATACTTACCTTTTATTGTTGTAATTAGTGTTATTGATAAATATTAAATTTAGTCCTTAGAATGCAACCGTTAGATTTAATTTAATGTCATTTTTAGAAAGTGTGGAAGAATTTTCTTATTCCACATGGAGCAAGGGATCATTACTATATATATATATTTGGAAAATGACAGACATTACGAAGTATTTTTCATGATTTTATCACTAATAATACGTGACATAATTAATTTTCCTTTTAAGAGCCGAAAAGAAAATTCCTCATTCAAATTTCCTTTTGGAAGCGAATTTGGTACCAACCATAGTCGCTTAGTTCTAGATTTTTGTTTAAATGCAGTGTAATTAACCTTATGATTTAATATTAAATTAAAAATTAATATTTATTATTATGAAATTACAAAAATACCCATTTTCTCCTTCCTCCTCCCCTCTCTCTCTAGAACTTCTACCCCCACTCTCTCTAAAATCAGTCCATCTCTAGCAATGGAACCAGGGCCTCCATTTTTCCTTATCTTACTCTCTCTCCTCACACCACCGCCATTTCCCCCACCAAATCACCCTCTGCCGCCCCAAATTGTTACGTGCATTGAGGGGCCACATAACTTCACAATTCACATCACATGATTAAGAACTATACCAGACTCTTGCTGGAATTATTAGACTTGTTGGTTTATCTTTAATGTCAGGTTGTTTCTGCTCTTGGAATCCAACATATTTGTTTAAATATAGTTATTTTGTAGTGCGCTTAACTTATGCCAAACCGGCCTCATGTTTTTGCTTGTAAACAGACTCAAGAACTGAAGCATCCTTTTCTGCATGTTATCACCGATATTCCATTGGGTTGCTTCCGTAAATTGATTTCTGAGGTCCGGATGAAGGAATACGTACAATAAGGAAAGCTGGCAGTCTTGGTATCATAGAATTGGTTCAGGTCAATTAGTGCGCCAATTAAGCTAGCACAGCCGCCTGTATTCTGAATGAGATGATATTTGGTATTTCAGATCAAGCAATTAATGCTTTCACAATGATGTTTCGAGAGTCCACGATAAGATGTGAAGAGATGGCAGTGGTGTGAGGAGAGAGAGAGAAGAGGAGTGAGAGAGTGGGAGGAGAGAGAGTAAGATAAGGAAAAATGGAGGCCTGATTCCATTGCTAGGGAGAGACTGATTTTAGAGAGAGAGAGTTGGTGGGGGGGGGGGGGGGTTTAAAAGTGGGAGAGGAAGAGGAAGAAAAAGATGGGTATTTTTGTAATTTTATAATAATATATATTAGTTTTAAATTTAATATCAAATCATAAGGTTAATTTTGTCATTTTATAATCTAATAAATGGGTGACGACTTGGTAACTTTAGCATTTCTTTAGTTATTTTGTCATTTCACAACCTAATAAATGAGTGGGTCGCGAGAATGCCATAACTTGATGGCATAACTTTAGCTTAGGAGGCATGTAATTTTAATGGAATTTTTTTGGACGAAAATAATAATAGAGGGGGCTTATGTGATTTTTCCCTATGTAGTATATATATTTATACATTGAAGCTATGAATAATTAACGATAGAGATAATTGAAGCATCTTAAAATAATTTTTATGTATTAATCTGAAACTATAATTCAAAAATTTAGAATTATTTTTTTGTATTTCTTTAGCATAGTTAATACTTGGGGTTATGGATAATTCACTAAAAAAAATTAAGGCACCTATAAACTAAATTAGTTGACAATTGTCTAACTCAGATGTAAAAGAAGGTTATTTTAATGAGCTTCAATGTTGACGTGATATGTTAAAATAAGATTACGAAATTTTATACTAAAAAGGAGAGAGTGACAAGGGTAGAAAAATACGACATCCCTGCTAATCATTTTTTTGTGAACTTGCTTATGATGTTATTAAAAATATAATAAATTCATAGTAAAAAAAAAAAAAAAAAACAGATTAACGGAGTATTAAAAAAAAAAAAAAAAAAACCGGAAGACGAGTGATTAATATAATCAGATCAGTTTCTTCCTTTCACATTTTTTCGCGTTTCACTTTGGAGAGAACACAGACGCCAAAGACTCTTTTCCTCATATTCTCCTTCTTCTCTATACCTACGAGAAAATTCCCAAATGAGTGAGAATTATTCCGCCGATCCACGCATGTCTTCCCTTATTACTTTCTCTTCATTTCTTTGCTGCCAAACACAGTGTAGAGAGAGAGGGTTTTGCAGCTTTTGCTGTATCGTTTATCATTAAGTTCCTAATTACCGAAGAAGAAGAAGACTACTTTCTCACTCCTCATAAGCAGTCTCATCACATCTATATCTATATGTGATACACACACACACAAATATTCGATGCTTGCAAGTTTGTGTTAGGTTTTTATCGATCAACATGGCGACCTCATCGCAGTCAATCCGATTCGGTGGTCCGGCCACTGCTACTGGCGCCGGTAACGTAGATGCGCTGAACCGTGTCCTTGCTGATCTATGCACCAGAGGCCCTCCAAAGGTTAGTTTGACTCCCCCTAAGTATTGGTTCAATTGATCAGAAACTTAAATTTTGAGTTGTTTCCTCTAGTTTCTGGGAAATTTGAGTAAAAAATGAATGAAAATTGAATTACATATCTCCAGCTCAGCCGTGAAGGTTTTCATTCTATTTGTTTTGAAGTTGCTTATGATTTATAGGCAACTGGGCGGAGTGTAAATGTTGAGAACTTATACCTCGAATTGTTTGTTTTGATTTTGGTTATGAAGGCGGTTAAACTGAAGTTTGATTCCCTGCAAGTTTTTCAATTCTGTGCTTACTTGTTGAAATTGTAATTTTACAGTTTAAATTTGTTTTGGCCAAGAATCCTCAAAATTGCAAACGGAGTTTGTTAGCTTGGACATGCAAAACTGTGGTGGTAAACTAGTGTTGCTAACATATTCTGAATTCAATCAAATATATGGTCCAAGGAATATGACTAGATGAGAACCTGACTGAAGGTTTTGATATGTAATAAGTTGATGCCCTTTACTAAGCCTTGACGAGCTTGGGGATTTTTGGAGCCTAAGAACACCTTTTTACATATGATTGAGGGGGCACATTAGTGGTGATATGCTTCATGGGGCACTGGGGCACCTAGGTCTACGGGCATAACTTTATAGATCCTACCTATCCAATCTAATAGAAGTATTCTGTTCATCGTGGATAATGGTCTCCTTTTCTCTCCTCCTTATTATAAGCTCTAGAACCCTCCCTTTGGTTATGAGCATGGACTTCAGGCGGGACTGAATGCCGTTGGAAAAACATTTCTTCCTCTATATGTACACTTCTCCCTTGAAGAGATGGTCGACGGATCAAAAATTCCTCTGATTCTTGAAACATGACATCCATGCAAACAAACTCCTGATTGGATTGCAGATGATAACATTTGTAACTTTTCTAAGTAGTCAAGTATCCAATAAAGACACTTAGTAAAACCTTACCACGCACTGAATCAATATAGGGCAATTTGAGTAAACCTGTGTCCTTCCCTGCTGCATTTAGAGGTGTACCAGATTTGTCCAGCAGTGACAGGTTGCAAATGAACCCAGATGGTCGAGTATTGGGTTTTGATTCAGTTAAATTTGGAATAATTTAAGTGAAGCCTGAGCTCTAACCAGATGTTAAATAGAGTGCCCGAGATTGGTTCATTTATAATACCCGAACTCGTGTTTTGGCAGCAGTTCTATTTAGCATGTTGTATATACCTATGTAAAATTGAATTTATGTTGAAGTCTAGCAATTCTAACCAGAGTTACACAATTCAACTAAATTAGTAGGTGCTGTATCGCTCCTAATGCGCATCAATGTTTTGAGAGCGAAAGCACCACAAATATGCGTGCTGAATTTCTTGAATTTGTGGATTGGACTTGGATTGCAATTTCCAATCCTTGGCTTGGACACTGGTAATTTGCAATTGTCAGTACACTAACTTGGTCACTGCTACTTAAGGGACGCTGGTCCCTCTCTGCACGGGTATGCGTATTTGCTGTGTTGGATTTAAAAATATGTGACAGAACCAAGATTCAAACTGGTAACATTTTCAAGAAAAACATATGCCATTGCCAACAAAGTCACTACGTTTTTGTGGGATTGTGTCTCTAATTTATTTTATTTACTGTCTAACAAACAATGCAGTATAAATATTTTCACATACTTGTATAGACGCTCCAAAAACAATAGTACAATTAATTATAATTGGTACAAATGGATGTACACTGCGTGGATACATGCAAACAAACAAAACATAGAGGCATTCTGAAAATGCTCCCAATCTAAGAAATTTTGGAGTTTTAACTCTTTCACACTCTCATTCTTGCCCTCTTTTTGTGTGACTTAGCTTTTAACATGACCATTGCACATTAATGTTGTAAACAACCATCTACTCCAAAAGCTTAAGCTGTTAGAGTGGGTGTAAGTTAAATATTCAAATCCTTCAACACGCCCCCTCACGTGTGGCCTTCTTTTGGTCCAACATGTGTATCGATTTTAAATCAGGGTGACGGTGAGGTTTGAACACAGGACCTTACCTGCTTTGATGCCATGTTAACAACCATCTACTCCAAAAGTTTAAGTTATTAGAGAGGGTGTAACTTAAATATTTAAATCCTTCAACAAATGTTTACAATTTTTTTTTGATTAGTACTATTACAAATTTATTATTCCCTCTCCCCCAAAGAACATATCCCTGTTTCTATTTTTAGATGTCCTAAAATTACTCTCCTTTAGGAATTTCAACATAAAAATTTGTATATCTCCTAGATCATCCTTAAGTTTTAAAGTTTTTCTAAATGCACAAGGTTGGGGTCACCAAAAAGGGACATTTGTTTTGGGACCATGAGGGGGAGAGTACATACTTAAAAACTTCTTGCTTTTATATTTCTCATAACTTAATAACTTTGTATTCTTGTACCATGTTTTATCCATGTAAGTTTAATATGAATTGCATTAGTTCAAGTTTGTAACATCAACATGAAATGTTTGTATGCCTGAACGAGTGGAGCTAGGTTAAACAACTAACGACTCTTGGAACATGTGTTAAAGCTTAGTTCATATAAATATTAATTAGTGTATGAGTTTGACGTGGTTTCTTATCTATTTGAGCTGGTATTGTTCATGAATAATTTGGTTCATTTACAACCATTATTAGGGATGGGGATGGGCAAGTTACGTGAAAGATCTGGTCAATTACCCCCCTTGAGATATCACAGTGGGATGGATAGCTGGCCATTCAACTAGTGAAGAAAAGGAAATGAACATTCTGTAGTATTAATTACTATAAGATTTTCATTTCCCTTATTTCTTTAAGCCTCCTCATCCTTCAATATTTTTTCATCTTTGTGTGTGGTTTCTGTTTAATATAAAGGTGGTTGCTCAGATCCTAAGATAAAGTGCTTATATTTATTTTTGGTTTGTTCTATTCTTCAGTACTTTTTGTTTCAATTCATTAATTAATTAATTATTTATTGTTATTATTTCTGGCAATTTTTGGGTTTTATTCCTCTGTTACACAGGATGGGGCTGCATTGGCTTTAAGGAAACATGTGGAGGAAGAAGCTCGTGATCTTAGCGGGGAAGCTTTTTCCCGTTTTATGGATCTTTTATATGATCGTATTACTGGTCTACTGGAAAGTAATGATGTTGCTGAAAATTTGGGAGCGTTACGGGCTATTGATGAGTTGATAGATGTGACACTTGGAGAGAGTGCATCAAAGGTTTCAAAGTTCTCTAATTACATGCGAACTGTATTTGAAGTAAAGCGCGATCGTGATATTCTAATTCTTGCCAGTAAAGTTCTTGGCCACCTAGCCAGGAAGGGTGGGGCAATGACTGCAGATGAAGTGGAACGCCAGGTTTGTTGCATCGTTGCTCTCTTAATTGCATGTAAGTCTGGGATATAAGATTACCTGATATCTATTGTTTCCCTAGGTAAAAAATGCACTGGAATGGCTTAATTCTGAGAGGGTTGAGTATCGCCGTTTTGCTGCTGTCTTGATCTTGAAAGTAAGTGCTACAAATTTCTTTGGACAATTACTAACATATAGTTTGTCAAAGATTTGAGATTTTGGTAGCCATTTAGCATTACACACTACTGGGTTATACCAAGTCCATAGTGTTCTAATTTGCACATTCTTGCCTTCTGATCAATTTCTGCCACTGTTTCGTGGCACTTGACTGCGTACAGTGTATTAACAGTTAATTAATGGTTGAAGCCAAGTACAGATTACCTTTTGATCATCTTTGCTTTACTTGTTATATTATTTTGTGCATGCGGCTTTCAACATATTTGCAATGTAATAAAGAATAGGTAATTGCTTCTTCTACAAATTGTTTTTCAATAATGCATTCTACTGTTTGGGTTTTTTTAGGTGGAATACCTATTAAACTTCGAACTCAAAGACTACTTGTTTACCTAATTAAATTGGAAAAATCTTTTCAAAGTGAAAAGCTTAACTGATTAATTAATGTGAATGATAGGAACCAATGTGCATTGTAGATATGACATCATGTGGACCCCACACGAAGATACTTATTAGTCGTTTACTAGAGTCATTGTTTAGTTGGCCTAAACTTTCGCCATGTATTATGGCATTGCTCAATTAGCTTTGGTTCATTTATGAAGTGTACCTAATTCAGATTTCCATTATATATAATTTGTTTATTCGTCTTTGTTTAGGAAATGGCTGAGAATGCTTCTACTGTCTTCAATGTTCATGTACCTGAATTTGTGGATGCTATCTGGGTTGCACTGAGGGATCCAACACTTGCTGTTAGAGAGCAGGCTGTAGAGGCATTGCGTGCTTGCCTTCGTGTTATTGAAAAGCGTGAGACGCGTTGGCGTGTCCAATGGTTAGTCGATATGTTTAAATTTTTGGATTTGGTGATAGTAAAAAATGACATCTAGAGTTTCTTTGAAGTTTTCTGGCCTGAAAAATGCCATGATTTGGTTGGACGTGTTGGAGACACTATATTCGGAGAGGGGTATGAGATATGTGTCTGGCACATTTGGTTGGACATTTACCTGAAAAGAATATCCTATAATTCAATTTTATTAAAATTATTGGTTCAAAATGAGGTAACTTCCTTTTTAGAACTCGAAGTTACAGAATTTTTTGTTACTCTAGAAATTAAAAGAAAAATATTAAACAATATGAATATTTAGCAGTGTTCTTATATCCTTCTATTTGGGATTTGACACAATAGACTCTTAGACACAGCTGCATCCGGCACACATACTCAATTCCAAGTAAGGTAGGTAATAATATAGAAACCAATCTCCACGTTCGGCATTTACTTTCCCTTGTTGTCACTCAAATTGTGATTATATAAATTATGATCAATTTTCGTGTTCGGATACAACTTTTAACACACTACTACATGAAATTGATAATTGTGTATTTTGGCTGGTAATGGTGGGTTTTGGTGTTCCAGTTTATGGACTTGGAGAGAATTTGTTCTGGGAAGGGGATAAATATAACTTCCAATGTATGAAGCATTCAGGAAGCCCTTCCGTTTAATGGTTTTGTTTACTCATTGTTTAGCTCCGAGGTTCATTTTTTTTTTTTTTTGCATGTAGCGAACTTTTTTAGTACTTGTCCATGTATCTAAATAATGTTTTTAGTACTTTTCTAATATATAGAAGACTTTTTTTTTTTTTTTTTTTTTTTTGTCTCTCTCTCTCCTCTCACGTGGTATGAAAATAAGAAACCGTTATATAAACGCTGGTATAAATTTTTTTCTTGACATATGTTGCTGAACTTCCGATGTTGTTGAAGGCGAGGTAGATACCTATCTCTTCCTTTGGAGTTTACCACCCAATCACCTTGTAGATATTCTAATATAATTATCACAATCCAAACAATGAGGAGGAGGCGGCAGATAATTGTCAATTGGTGTTATATGTGCAAGAGGGCTGAGGTTTTGTATGAACTAGAGATGGATGGGTCATGCTGTGTGCCATTTTTGGAAAAAAGAAACAAAAGATTACATATACCGATTATTTGGAAAATCAGAAGGCTTTTATGTAAATCTACAGCCGAATCTTGTACTTTTGGATTCATAGATTCAAGTTATTTGATGTGTTTAGAGGCTGTTTGGAGGTTGAGAGAAATGTGAAAAATTGGGAAATAAGCAGATCAATATAGCTGTGGTGGCTGAAACATTGCCATCGCGGCTGTTTCATCCGAGCCATGCCACTATCTTAGTCACCTTGATATCTGACCTAGTCAGTTGCGGTTGCAGCTGTGAGTCCATTTCTATCAGCTAAGTCACGTAAAATTTTAATTCCTTGCTAATTCCAATAAAAAAACCAAATTTACGTTCTGGTACTCTTCTACTGATGCTTTATTTATTTATTTATTTATCTGTTATGGTTTTGCTTTAGAGAAAGTCTAGTTGACTATTGCAGTTAAAATTTCTTAATGCTTATTGTGATGCATTTTATGCTTTTAGTTGGTACATTAGGGATCATTTATTTTTTTATTGTCCTTTTGACAGGTATTACCGGATGTTTGAGGCTACACAAGATGGATTGGGTAGAAATGCTCCTGTTCACAGCATACATGGTTCTCTACTTGCAGTTGGAGAGCTTTTAAGGTTGGATGAAAGTTGGTTTTGCGATTATTAGGGGACTCTGAAATGGCATATTCTTTGGTTTCCTACCTTGGTTTTTTCTATTTTATATTTCTTGCTTACTAGTGTTTTTGGGAACAAACTTTTAGCAACTCGTATGATGAATAATTTTAGGTCTTTTTTCCAAGTTACATGGCGACAAGCTTTCAACTCCTCACATATATACTCCCTCTATCCCAAATTAAATGTCCACCTTTCCATTTTGGCTGTCCCAAATTAAATGTCCCATTTGAAAAGTCAAAGTACTATTTTTTGTAACATTACCAATTTTACCTTCTTGCATTGAACTTATAAAAGGTAAACCATCACATCCTGTGGATCTACTATGGACATATTTGGTAATTCATTCACTACCAATACAATAAAAAAATATTAAAATCCATCCTCTTAAAAATTTAGATTCCCGAAAAGAGACGTTTAATTGGGAAGGAGGGAGTTTTATTTTAGAATTTTGTAGCAGTCAATAAAAAGCGAGTCAAAGAAGTATTATGATAACGAAGTAAGAGGAACTAGTCCATCAGTTGGGTGATTATTTATTGGTTGCTTTCCTGATATTCTGGGGTAGGTTCTGAACTTATCCTGATTACATTCTAGTTTTACAAGAAAGATCTTTTTTATGAAGTTTAGACCATAACAATGTATCTGTGAATGCTTCATCTTCCGTTGAGCTTTTTTATTGGCCATCTGATGCAAATATTTAGTGGAAGCTTGGATGCCATGGGATTAAATTGTGATCGGGGTTGAGCTATATGATAATAGGTTCTGCTTGTGAAAATTTTGATGGTTTTCTCCAAGCACCAAGTTCATGGAATTTTTTAGGATGCCTTCAGACTTTCATTTGTATCACTTATTTTCTTGGAAAGACTAAAACAAGTCACTGCTAATGGGTTTCTCTAGTAGAGGTTTTATTTTACCACCAGAGTACCCTTCATATTATGAGATGCTCTTATGGATTCCATGTCTTCCATGCATCATACTCTAACCAATTATTTTTTGTTGATAAGTCATCATCCTCAACATGTTGGACGAAGCCATCACAGAAATACCATATGATGATGGAATTACATGTGTGCCTTTCCAGCTTGGTTTTATGCTAAATTATGTCCTTTTAATGTATTGTCAACAATAATAGTATGGACCACGGCACGATGGTAACATAGTTGATTAGAATATTCTATTTTGTTGTGCATCTTTTAAATATTAACACTGCCCTCTATCTGCTGCTCCTTTGCTTCATAATTAGTTCTCATTTGAGTTTCAACTGGCAGGAATACAGGTGAGTTTATGATGTCAAGGTACAGAGAAGTTGCAGAAATTGTTCTCAGATACCTAGAGCACCGGGACCGGCTTGTTCGTCTTAGCATAACTACGCTTCTACCTCGCATTGCTCATTTCTTGCGGGATCGCTTTGTTACAAACTACTTAGAGGTTTTGATCTTTCCTTTCTCTTTTATAGGCAATTGTATCTCATTAGAGAATGTGTCTGATAAAAGATCACTTATCTTCACTGCTGGTTGCCCTATATCGTGCTTACAAAATGATTTCTATTTTACAGATATGCATGAATCATATTCTTGCGGTTCTTAAAATACATGCCGAACGTGCCAGTGGGTTCATTGCTCTTGGAGAGATGGCTGGTGCTTTGGATGGTGAACTTATCAACTATTTGCCGACAATAACATCTCACTTACGTGATGCAGTATGTTATCTAGGCTATCAGCTAGGACTGGTGTTCTTTCCACAGTTTCTGCTTTTCTCCCTGATGCATTTTTGTGGTTTAGATATTTAGTTGACTCGTGGCAATCCATCTAATAAACATGGCGTGTTTTTGATTTGTAGATTGCTCCTCGTAGAGCTAAACCCTCGCTTGAAGCTTTGGCTTGTGTTGGAAGCATTGCGAAAGCCATGGGGCCTCCTATGGAACCTCATGTTCGCAGTCTTTTGGATGCTATGTTCTCTACTGGCCTTTCCTCTACACTAGTAGAATCCCTTGAGCAAATAACCGCTAGGTATAATAGAGCATACACGAACACTTCTATCAAACACGTTTCTGTGAGATTTTGACTTATAATAATTGTTAATATTTCAGTATTCCATCTTTGCTGCCAACTATTCAAGAGCGGTTGCTTGAATGCATTTCATTGGTTCTTTCAAGATCCCATTATGCCCAGGCAAGGCCATCTATTGCCGCGAGTCGAGGAAATATGGCGAGTTCCATCCAGCAAGTCTCAGAACTTAGTGGTTCTGCTTTAGTGCAACTTGCTTTGCAAACTCTTGCACGATTTAATTTCAAGGTTTGTTTAGTTCTACAGTTTAGTTTGTTTCTTAGTTTTCATTCTCATTTCAATGCTAAGCTATTATTTCTTTTAGGGCCACGATCTACTCGAGTTTGCAAGGGAATCAGTTGTAGTATATTTGGAGGATGAGGATGGAGCTACACGAAAAGATGCTGCCCTGTGTTGCTGCAGATTGATTGCAAATTCCTTCTCTGGTGTGGCATGCACACAGTTTACTTCTAGTAGGTCCAATCGAACTAGGGGAAAGCGCCGACGTCTTGTTGAGGAGGTTTTCTTTATTAAAAAATTGATCCAACTTCTGTCACATATTTGTTTGTTTGTTTTTTCTTCTGGCTTTTATCGACTCCTTTTTCATTTGCAGCGTCAAATAAATGTAGCTTTATAGCCTTTATATATCTTTTTTTGACGCAAACTATGCACCTAGTTCTATTTCGCACAAAGTAGTTACTTCTGGCTTGTTGTAAAATCTCTCTAAATCAATTATTCTTAACTACATGAAGATCAACTTTTTTGTGTTTTATGCTATTGTAGCCTTTTTTTTTTTCCCCTAGTTGGTACACCCCACCCCCCCCCCCCCAAAGGAATTGTTTGCACCCAAGAGGAGTCGAACCTTGGACCTAATGCTTCACGAGGCATCATGGCCAAGTTCTTATCCACTTGAGCCAATCCTTGTAGTTTATGCTATTGTAGCTTTTACTTTGAATATCTGTAATCAAACCTCTCCCCCCCCTCTCCACATAAATCACGCTGATCAATGGGAATTACTATGAGATTTGAATTTGGGTTGGTTCAGATTGGAGACGTTAATGGGGCTCATGTCTGGATTTTAACTTAAAAAATGCACTAGGATTGGGTTCCAAAGGGAGTATCACACTGTCTAAAATCTGCATTTAAAATGCTAATTGTAATTTGAGAACTTCCTTGATACTTGTTTGAATTTTAAGTGTTCAGTGATAAGTGAAGTCTCTATTACTTAAGACATCAACTCATTCTAAGTGGACTTTATTCTATTAAGTGATATCTAAATTGCTCATCAACTGCACTTAATTGGATAATCAGTTAATTTATTCAGAATGAAGTACTGAACTGCGTTATCACTCTTTCATTGTCAAGAGGAGAATGCGTTTTCTGCTTTCAACTTTAGGTTCTAAAGGATCCCCATGAGTCAAAACAATATTAAGGAAATGGAACTTCTACAATTGCCTTTTTAGTTAAATTTTGTATTTATATTTTTATTTTACTCGTTGTAAATGTTGGAATCATTACACAAATGCTCCCAATGTGCCTATTATGTAGCTTCTGAAGGTTTGAGCATGTATGGTTCTGACAACTTTGCCATTGTTTTTCTGAAGATTGTTGGAAGACTGTGTGAGAGGATTTTCGAGGGTTTTTTGGGAGTTTCATGCGAAAGGAACCATAAGTGGAGCCATTAGTTTTAGTTTAATTGCTTTAGTTCCAATGGATATAGTTTGATGAGTACTAAAGGTATCATATCCATTAATGGCGGAATCATTTCTAAGGTCCCTTCTTATTTGTTAAAGATGACCTTGATGAAACTATCTCCTTGGCTATTTGGCCTTTGTTAGTTGTAGACAAATTTGGGTTTTGGTCATTGATAATGAAGTGGTAGAAGATTACAAGAACCACAATAACGAAGGTGTGGTGCTCAAGGTATACATTGAGAAGGCATATGGTCATTTGGGGTTTTTTATTTGATTTATTTTTGCATTATTTGATTGATAGGAAAGGTTTTGGAGATATTGATAAACAGTTCTTTATCCTTCACTGAAAAATTCTTAATTAATGGTTAGGATTAATTTTTTTTTGACTTGCGTAGTTGTGCATTTTTTTTTTTTTGGGGGGGGGGGGGGGGGGGGGGGGTGAGTCTTCTTCTGTTGAGGGATGAATAGGGAATGAAATAAAGTGTCTTTTTTTTAGGATAATGTTTTATTTTAGTTTGAACATTTCTAAAAACCATAATTTCAATAGAATCGTAGAAATATTTGATAGAATGGGTGTTCTAGAATTTATAGGCATAAATTTTTTGTTGTCAACATCTTTGTTGATCATGCATAAATTAATGTTATTGTGCTTTGCACCAGTGAGTGGCCATGAAGTATTTTGGTCTTGTACTCGGGGAAATCTTCTTTTTGTGATCTACTTGGTGCCCATGTTTGAGAAGGTTTCAACAAGACTCGCCAAGTGGAAAAAGGATCACTCTTGTTTAGGTGGCAGGATTATGCAACTCTTTCCAAAATCTCCATTGATGATGTGAGAACAATTACCTAATTAGTTAAAAGGAAAATTTTACAGGACGGTTATTGACTGACTATATTATATGGAGCGGAATATCGGGCGTTAATGAGAATGTTAAATTGGATGATTGGAATGACGGGAAAAGATAGGATTAATAATCAACATGTGGGGAAAACTAGGAGTGGCGTCCATTAGCTATAAAACAAGAGAAAGTAGATTTAGGTGGTATGGTTGTGTCTTCAAGAAAATTGTTGGGATCCAAACCATGAGAATGGTAAGAATCATCATTCCCTTTGTAGTTTAGATTGCAACAATGGGATGATTATATAACCTCTTTTTAGTGATCCATTAAATTTAAATTCTAGATGGATAAGTGGCGGGGTTAAGTCTCTTCCCACCACTTTTTCTAGACTTTCTTGTCAAATTCTGGAACAAGCCAATTGCTTGTCTTTGGACTCATAATTTTCTCTAAGTGTTATTTTGTTGCATATTGCTATCAACATGTGAATCATTGTTTAAATCCATAGGTTGTTCTTGAGTTTTAGGTATTGGCTTATTTCAAAATGCTGTTAATACTATTAACTGGGAATGGTTGCTTTCTAGCTTCAATAACATTTGAATATTTTTTAGATTTATGGATTTTCTTCTGGTATATATGTTGACTTTAAGATATAATCAAATCAAAAGTAAGTGATGAAGAAGAAGAAAAAGAGAAGAAAGCTGATGAGAGAAAAAGTGAGAGAGAGATGGGGAAAGAGAGAAAGAATGAAAGAATACTTTCATCCTTCCACCACATTCTATTTATAATAACAAGTTTCAGAAATTACACATAAACCCCAACATTATATAAGTAATAACAAATAAGGCCCTGACAACACTCCCCCTCAAGCTTGTGCAAAGATATCTATCATGTCCAGCTTGACTAACATATTTTGCAAGCAGGTCTTGCTCACACCCTTAGTCAAAACATCAGCAACCTAATCATGTGTGTTGACGTATGGAGTACAAATCAGCCCAAGACGAAGTTTTTTCTTGATGAAGTGTTGATCGACTTCAATATGCTTTGTCCTGTCATGTTGAACTGGATTGTGGGCAATGCTAATAGCAGTCTTCTTGTCACAATACAACTTCATTGCCTAACGAACAGGATAACCCAACTCACCTAACATCGTATGTAGCCATAACAACTCTCAAACTTAATGTGCCATGGATCTGAACTCGGCCTCTGCACTAGATCTAGCTATTACAGATTGTTTCTTGCTTCGCCATGAAATAAGATTATCTCCAACAAATGTGTAATATCCTGAAGTAGATCGTCGATCTGTTACAAACCCTGCCCAATCAGCATCTATACTTCAACACACAAGTGACCATGACTGCCAAACAATATCCCCTTACCAGGTGAACCCTTGAGGTAGCGAAGAACATGATGAGCTGCCTCAAGGTGAGGTGTACGTGTAACATACATAAACTGACTAATCACGCTAATAACGTAGGCAATATCTGGGCGCGTGAGAGATAAGTAAATCAGTCTACCAACCAATCGCTGAAATCTTGCCACATCATTTAATGGGTCTCTATCTACATCATTAAGCCTATGGTTCTACTCAATGGGAATATTAATAGGTCTAGCTCCAAGTATGCCTATTTCAAGCAACAAATCTAACACATACTTTCATTGAGAAATGAACACTCCTTTCTTTGATCTGCACACCTCAATGCCAAGAAAGTTTCTCAATGATCCGAGGTCTTTAACCTCAAACTCGGTCCCCAAGAATGACTTCATTCGACGAATCTCTTCTGGATCATTTTCAGTGATAACAATATCATCAACATATACAATAAGGGCAGTGGCGCAACCCTGGTGCTTCTTGATGAAGAGAGTATGATCTGCCTGACTCTGTGTGTACCTTACTCTTTTCACAGCAGTGCTGAACCTCTCAAACCAAGCACGTGGCGACTATTTTAACCCATACAATGCTTTATTTAGCTTGCACACTAAATTCTGACCATTGGCCAGCTTAAACCCTGGTGGCATAGTCATATACACCTCTTCCTCCAAAGCATTCTTTACATCGAGCTGATGTAAGGGCCAATTCAAATTAGTTGCCAAAGAAAGAAGACACATAGAGTTCATCTTGGCAACTGGAGCAAATGTTTCCAGATAATCAATTCCATAGGTCTGAGTGAAGCCCTTTGCAACTAACCGAGCTTTATATCTCTCAATTGTCCCGTCTGCATGATGCTTTATTGTGTAGACCCATTTGCAGCCTACTTGTTTCTTACCCTTAGGTAATGGAACAATCTCCCAAGTACCATTCTTCTCGGGCCTTCATTTCTTCAAGCATAGCTTTCTTCCATGGAGTTTGACTGAGAGCATCTGAAACACTAGAAGGAATGGATACAGAGGAGATATATGAAGTGAAAGCACGATATGTTGGAGATAAGGCATCATAGGATACAAACTGAGATATGGGATGTTTTGTACAACTACGAACACCCTTATGATAGGCAATAGGGACATCAAGATCAACATGAATGCTATTGGGAAAAGAATCAGGAGTATCAATGTCAACTAAGGAATTACCTGGATCGAGGGAGACTTCTTGGTCCTGGGTTGAGTCAATAACTTGTTTTGTCTTCCTAGTGTAGACAATTGTTGCTTTCCTTGCTGCAAATCATTAGTGTTAGGAGGACTAGACATAGCCGTCCATAGCTCTTTAGTTGTTTTCACAAACAGAAACCCTTTGCTGATATGTGGCAGCATTGACTGCAACAACCACCTCATAACTAGTGCATTATTTGCACTCCATTCTTTGAATTCAGGATCGCTCTTGGGGAGATACGTGACAGTCCCTTTGATACGATCGATCATCCTATGACCAGTGATATGCATACGAGCAGATTGAGCCCACTCCATATAGTTCGTCTCATCTAGCCTAACAGTCGTAGTACAAAGGTCTGGATGGTGATTACTACATTGGAGTCAGACTAGGAGAAGACCTAGCTTCGTTTGAAGTCACCTCTGAGCTAGACATTTTAATAAACAGTTTCTGGGTATATAATCCTCAGAAACAAAAGCAGCAACAAAATATGCAGAGAACCACCTCTCTAACACACATAATTCAACTAGAAAGATTACCGTCTTCTGAGATGCATAAAAAGCGACCACAAAGTCACCAGTCACCACACAAACCCTAGAAAGCAACAAAGTAGACCATACCAGAATCGCGAAGGATGAAGAAATAGCCTATGTTGCGGAACCCCGTGAACACAAAAAAAACACCAATCGAGACTGCAATAGATAAAAAACAGGTCCAAAATATTTTTTTCGACAGTATGTGTGGATGTGATTAACACTACTTCCTTGCAAATAAATCCCATCTTGGAATCTCTTCAAAACCCTTCACACCCACTAGGGTTTTCACAAACTTGCCCTAGGGTTTCAACTACACACCTAGAGCTTTAAAAACCATCCTCTGATATCATGTTGACTTTAAAATATAATCAAATCAAGAGTAGGTGATAAAGAAGAAGAAAAAGAGAAGAAAGCGGATGAGAGAAAGAGAGAGAGAGAGATGGGGAAAGATAGAGAGAATGAATGAATACTTTCATCCTTCCACCACATTCTATTTATGATGACAAGTTTCAGAAATTACATATAAGCCCCAACATTATATAAGTAATAGCAAATAAGCCCCTGATAACAATATGGATTGTCATTCACTTTCGGTCCTCCTTGTTTCTTTCAGTGATTTTGTCTGTATTCTTTCTGGTCTTTATCTATCCTTGTCGGCAAGTGATTTTTTCTTTCTTCTTTTGTTTTTTTTTTTTTTGTGTTTTTTTGTGCTTGCTGACATTGCATGTAAAATGTGCTCTCCATATTTTTACTGCTTTGTTTGATGGTTTGCGAGGCTTAGATCAAGCTGCTTTAAATTTAAACAAGGGTGATGATGTGTTTCTAAATCTATGGAAATTGCAGTGTGTCAGATTTTTCATTGATGTTTATATATGGTAGGTAGATTTTTCACTGATTTTGCTCTTCGTGCAGATTGTGGAAAAGCTTCTTATTGCAGCTGTGGCAGATGCTGATGTTACTGTTCGACATTCAATCTTTTCTTCTCTGCATGGGAATGGAGGCTTTGATAATTTTCTTGCACAGGCTGATAGTTTGAGTGCAATATTTGCTGCTTTGAATGATGAGGTGCGAATTTGTCGTGATATAGAAAATGAGTACATGAATTAATAATTGATCATTTTTATTCCTAATCAAATATTTGAAACCGTTTTGAACACTTGGGGTCTGATGATTGTCGGGGCCGAGGGAATAGGGATGAGGTTTGGTGAGAAAAAGAACAAAGTTCTTGTAACAAAAACCAAGGATGGGTTTTCATAACTCCATTGATTGCAATTCTGATTGTATAATTGATCTTTCTTTCAAGAGTTGGGTTAGCAATGAATTTTCCCAACTTCAGTTGAAAAGGATTGGAGAAGAAGTGTAAATGACAAGTTTGAAGTGTGTAAAACTCATTGCTATCCGCAATGTGCAAAGTTAAGTATGTTCTGGACAATCACAACTGGAGTCAATGCACCTGTAACTGCCACCATTGTCACTGCTTAGCAACACCATTATCTTTGCCACTGCCAATGCCTGCAGTGAGAGTGACGATGCAGTTACTACCTTGTCCTTTGCTATGCCACATCAAATTTATAGAATTCTCCATAGATATAGACACCTCTAGGTAATTCATGAATGCTATATGTATTAGTATAGAATATTCACTTTTTTGAGAGTCAGTTTTACTAATAATATTATTTAGTCCAATAATGTTTCTGTAGTGCACGGCAAATGCTGTGTTGATATTCCTTATATAAATTGATATTGTTTATTTCCATTATAAATTCTTATAGTTCATTTCTGTTCGGATCTATGTCACCTAAACTTTAGCGTAATGTGTCTCAGTGCGTCATGCTGGAACTTGAGTTCTCAATCCTGACAACCTGAGTTTTTACCATTGCATCAAGCCATGGCTTCTATATATATATTTTTATATTTTTTGTAAAGACAGAGTTAGTTGAATTTGATTATGTTATTATTCCATTGAATCTGATTAATTTATTGTTATGAAAAATGAAGAATTGAGCATGATGTGATTTGCCATTTATTATTTTGTGCGAAGGCTTGTTTAGGGGGAGGAATGTTTAGTCAGGGAACCAATACACCTATTGTGGTAATCAAGATGATATGGGAATGAAAAATGGTATTTGGTAAAGACTCTCTCTTAAAAGTACACTTAAATTTGGTATTCTCTAAAAGTTTTCTCAGGAGAATCCTTCTAACTAAATTAAAGTATTAGATAGCAGATTGTTTTTGAAATATGTGTTGAGAAACAAGAGTACTCCCTCCGTCCCATATTAGATGTCCATGTTTAGAATTAGAATTTTTAAGGGGACAATGCATTAGATAGGCAAGTAATGCATTGCCCCCTTTTAAAATTACCAACCTTATCTTTTTAGTTTAAATATGTATATTACCAAGTTGGAAATTTTTTGAAAACCCAAGGGAAATGATGGTAAGATAACATTTATTTGCTTTGACTTTTCTAAGGGGACAACTAATTTGGGACATCCTAAATGGGAAAGATGGACTACTAATATGGGACAGAGGTAGCATGTTTTTTGTTTGTAACCAATTTGGCGTGTGGTAAAAATTGTAACTGCTGTTTGTTCTTTTAAATTCCCACACAAAGGCAAGATCTTTTTATAAACATCATTTTTTTTTTCCTTCTTCTTTTTTTGGGTGGTGGGGAAGAAGGGGAGGTACTGGATTTGAGGGAAAGAGAGGCCATGTAGTTGTTTGGGAGAAATAATAACAATGAGAACCTTTCGAAATTTTCTCAAAGTTGTAGAAGTAATTGAAGAAGGCATCTTGTGTTTTTTGGGGACCTTTGTGTCTTTCTTTGAGAGGCGATACAAGTTTTAGCTGGTTACCTCAATATAAAAGTTGATATTATTGGGGTCATTGCTTGTTTCACTTGTTAAATGCTCGATCTGTCAAGCATGATAACATGGTTTTGAGTCTTGAGAGAAGCCACTTTGTACAAATAATGGCAGTTAGATCTGTATATAGTCGTCCACCCCGTTTGACACCCTCGATTAACGGACCTTTATGACTTAGGCTTTCAATACATGTTTTAGCTGGTTACCTCAATATAAAAGTCTAAATGCTGGTCTTTAATTTAGTATCACATTTAGTAATTCTTGATGCTTTTTGATTGTCTATTATTAATTTTTTTTAATATTTGTTTTGCTTATTTATAAAAGAGAAAATAACAATTGCTTGATTGCATTTCCAGCACAATTGCCCAGGTGAAGAAAGACTTGTTCAGTATTGTGCTATAGTTGTTACTCACGAAGCCGCTTCTATTATGTCTTTTTGCAGGGAATGATACACACTTCAGCGAATGGAGTGTGCGTGTATATATATTTGTTCCTTTTAATGTTATGTTTGAATTAATATGTGGATATTTTGTTGATGTGTGGAATTTGCATAGCTTATTGGAATAGCTTTCTCACAAATGGGTTTTGTATGTTCCTATTGGGTGTCAGTAAATATTTACATCCCTGTTTTGTGAAATTCACACTTTTGTCGCCGTAGGAGGAAGTGTTAAAGCACTTGATTCTTTATCCAATTTTGTTACTCCAATGCATTGCACTTGTTGAATATAAAAAAAGAAATTACCTAGTGATCGTCTTGTCAATCTGGGTGTCAATTCCTGGTGCAAGGGTTAGATTGGGTAAACAGACATGCATTTCAGCTCTAGTATGTCTGAAGTAGCTATTATGCCATTGCATCATGTGATCATCCCTACATAACATTAAGATTTTGCTAAATCATGAAAAGTTCATTTTTCCAATGCGCTCACTTTCTCCATTGCCTTGTGCTCTCTTCTTATAGGATTTTGAAGTTAGGGAGTATGCAATTTCAGTTGCTGGAAGATTATCTGAAAAGAATCCTGCATATGTTCTTCCAGCTCTTCGTCGCCATCTTATTCAGTTGTTAACATATCTAAAACAAAGGTAGGGTTAAAGGGTTCTAGCTAATGATATCTACTGGACAGTTTTTACATACTAATAATAGGATATTATATTGCTGAGATCTTATTCCTTTTAATGTCTTTAACGCTTCAGATATTGACTTATCTTTACTTGTCAGCAGTGCAGACAGCAAATGCAGAGAAGATAGTGCTAAGTTGCTGGGCTGCTTAATTCGCAATTGTGAACGACTAATACTTCCTTATATTGCTCCAATACACAAGGTTAATTATTCTTTTTAAATTTAATTAGCTTACTAATTTACCATCATTCATATAGTGTATCTTTTATTTCAGGCACTCGTGGCAAAGCTTAATGAGGGAACTGGGGTGAACGCTAATAGTGCCATAATTAGTGGGGTTCTTGTGACTGTTGGGGATCTTGCCAGAGTGGTGGGTGAAATTCTTTTCTATTTGTATCCACATGCAGTGCTTCTTTCTGGGTGTTTGGATGTGCTCAATGTGTTCTATATGGTTGTTTTTTAGCATATAAGATGTGTTGCAACTTGCAATTTGTCTAGTGCCAATCATCGTTGGGCTTTCTCCCATTACTTCGTGTTGGTCCTGGGATAAGCAGGCAGGATATTGACCTTGCACAAATGGCTCACTGACTCATACACACATTCTCACCATTGGGATTTCTAGTAATAGGAAATCAAGGTTTACCCAACTTTTATATCTTATAATATAAGTGATTCTTTGGTTTTTTAAATTGCATTTTTACAATTGTGAAACCAAATGACATTTATTGATCCCATTTTCAATAATATGAGAATATTTATAGAATTGTACCATCTACGGACTGTCTCGACGCATCTATCCATTGGTTTCTCTCTCTCTCTCTCTCTCACACACACACACACACACACAAATAAAAAAGTATCACGGAAGAGTGTCTAGGATGGTGCCAGTCAAGTACATGTGCAGTATATGAGAGGGAGGCCTAACCCCTTACCTACAACTCATTCCCTAAAAGTGTATAGGGAAAAAAAAAAAAAGTACAAAGAAAATGTGCCTCGAGAGTCATTTGTAATGAACTAAACATAGCCTTCTTTAACATAAGGACTCAACATTTCTCCTCGAGAGTCATTTCAAATGTTCCTTGAGAATCCTTGCTTTTGCCGAAGTCTACACGTATCTATCGCTGATCTTGACATGACCCATTGAATCCCAAATAGGGCCACTGACAATTCACTTAATAAATCCTTAATGATTTGATCTTGATTTTCTCAGCTGTTTATAGGCATACATATTTTTATATTGTAAGACTATATTGTAGCTGTAGTGCAACTTTGAAATAATTTGGTGCCCTTTGCATTCAAAGTCCTGGAAGGTTATTTTATGTGGACCTGCAGATGGATGACTTGTCATGCAGATTTCATTTCATAAACTATATTTTTTCTTTTCTTCTAATACATATATTGCTTTCGTTTCCAAAGTTGTGATAATTTTAAGGATGGTATGTGGGTCCAATATGTTAATGTATTGGTTAGGATGAGTTTTTGGATGTTTCTCATTTGTTGTAACGATTTCACAATGCATTTAAATTGTCCTTAAAGGTGAAAGGTTGGATTTTACTAAAGAAATTTGAATAAACTATTAAAGAAGCTTTCACCGTTCTCTCTCTCTCTCTCTCTCTCTCTCATATATATATATATATATATATATATATTACATATACTTTGCACGTGCACCATAAACTCTTCTTCTTCTTCTTCTTAGTTTGGTCGAAAGGGTTGTGTCTTCTATGTGTTTGATGAACTATGTAGTGCAGTTGAGATTAATAAGCTTTGGTGCTAAATTCAAATTTATGGTCCTAGATATAGCGGAATAGCAAATTGATGGGACCTTCTTCGAATTTTTAGACATGGCTATATCAATTTGGGCTGCATATTAGATTTGAAGGTCCAATGAAATTATTATGACGATATTTAAGTTCTTATCCATCTACACTAGTCAAATAACTGATGATTGAGTTTTTTTCCAACAAGTGGTAATGGATGCAACTTGGTAGAAACAGTTTATTAACTTTATTTAGAAATCCTTGGATGCTATTTCCTTTGGACCACAAATAGATGGAAGCTGGGGGTTATTTTTTGTTCTTTTTATACAAGTTTTTGATGGAAATTGCGCCGTTGTCTTACTTTGGACATAAAAGTGTTCTTTGGAATGATATTTGGTTTTATTATGTTGACACTATAAACTGTGGATTTCTATTTGGAATGTTCTGACTTGTTTTTATGGTTCCACACATCTTATAAAAAGTCTTTTGAGTGTGAGCCCTAAATATGAACAAAAGCAGAAAAGATTATAGAAGGATCTATCAGTTTTGTCCTTTGCTCCCTTATTTAGTATTATTGTTCAACATTAGAATTGAATCCTTAACTCAACACTATCTGTTATGTATTTCTCAAATTCTTATTGGTTTGAGCTTGGAGTTGTATTTGTTTGAGGATGTGTTGTTAGACTTGGGCACAAAGTAATTGTACTTGAGCCCCATGTTGCTGCGACATATACTGGGTCATACACTTTTTATTTTTTATTTTATAATTGGGGGATTGGCATTGGCATTGGCATTGGCATTGGCATTGTCACTTGAGATGGTTATCAGATGATGTAGTTTGTTCTCTTTTGTTATGGCTTGGGAGTGAGTCAACGCTAACATATTACCCATGCTTATAGTCTATAGGAGGCAGAAGAATGGTATTTATGCAATGTATTTTGTAAGCCGATTCTTTTAGCAGAGGCTTTGGTAGTTGGTGTTATTCTGATTAGTAATGCAAATTCTCTTTATTTGGAGGATCATACTATCATAGGGTTGTTTAATTTTGCCCTTACTCATTAATTGTTTGTTTTTATTTTTTTCTTTTTATTTACTGTACAGAATTTGGTGTTTACACTATATTTTCTCTTCTTTTTTCTGCATTCTTTGTTCTTTAAAAACTTATTGTCTTATATATGGTTTATGAGCTTGTAAGATTGGTTTTGTGGTGGATTATGTTATGATAAGTTATTTCATGACGTTCTTTTAACAACTTTCTGGATGAATGTCATAACTTGTTGGCCAGTCAAACTAATTGTGACGTATATTTTTTTTTCGTCCCCTTTCCTGTTCAGGGTGGTTTTGCAATGAGGCAATACATTCCCGAACTTATGCCGTTGATTGTCGAAGCTCTATTGGATGGAGCTGCTGCTGCAAAACGTGAAGTGGCCGTTGCAACTCTTGGTCAAGTTGTACAGAGTACAGGGTATTAGATGCCTTCTATCTATGTTTAGAATCTTTTCCATGATTTTTCCATTTTTGTGTTTGTCAGTTGTTGTTGGGGATGGGATTATAAATGTATTCAATGAATTAGATCACTTCTTCATTTTTTCCTGATTTGGATGAGGTTGATGTTCCAATATTACCAAGTAGGTTTATCACTTTGATAATGGAGCTTCTTCACCCCCCTCCTGCGGGCCTCCCTTTAATTTTCCTTACTGGCCATTTAATTATATCGATTGGTTGTTGAGGGTCCTCAAGAAACTACTTCTTGGTGCTTTCTATAAGTTGGGCTTTTAGTAAATTGTTGTGACATTTTTGTAATTTTTTTCACTTTTAGAATATTTTTCATTCCGCTTGTGGAAGCAATTTGGATGCACTATCTCTTCCATGAAATAACAGTTTATATCTATGTAAAAGTGCTGACCCCCACTGCAATAACATTGATCAAAGATGGAAAAAGAGATTTGTGAACTTCCCGTGTTCTTTTTTGCTAATTAAATTAATAGCTTCAAACATAACTTGAGTTTGAACAAAGAGTTCAGAAAAATCGTTCACTATATATATAAGCATGGTTTTGTTTTATTTTGGAATATATCAAGTGTAGATTGATCATGCAATGCACAAAATGTGAAGTTCTAAGTTTTTGTGCATAAGAAGCAGAGAACACATCCCTTGGTAATGAGACTCCTTTTAAGTTCCGAAGACCCATTTAGCCATTATAAAGTACTACTTACCAATCATTTTAATCTGTGCTCCGTAACAATAAATATGCGTATATGTACAAATATACATAGATACAAATGCACATATATATATATATATAGACATTTATGTACTTTTGCGCTACTTTATTACCTTTGTTATTGGAATTCTTTGAGAATTTTTTTTTATTCAGGGATAAAAATATCTAGGCAACCTTTTGTTATTGTAATTAAATAAATATTGATTATAAAGGAAGATAAGGGGAGGGGAACCTGATCCCTAGTGACTGCTTTGTTGGATTTACTTTAGGGATTAGTGTATGTGGAGAGGTGGAGGATTCGATTAGATGGATGGTGGGCAAAGGGGGATATTTGGTATTTGATCCTTATCGGTGGCTTTGTCTATGGGATACCAACAAATATGTATATCCACGAACTCAATTATGTTGTAAATTTGATTCACAGTTAGAGTTGAGCAGGTTGGACACAATCTTTTTGATACAAAATGATCAGGTGTTGATTTCTATGTTGAGGATCAATATCCATTTTTTTTTTTGGAGGAGGGAGGGGGGGTTGGGTGGGTGTAGATGCTAATCTTGTTAACAATAAAACTGATGCAATTCTGGTGGCCTACCAGAAGGAAGTGTAGTTGAAAAGAGAACCTTTGTGAGAGCTCTCAAAGGACAACTGTAGATGGAAGCCAATGAAAGTTACTTTATGTCCATATTAAAATTTTAGTGTCTACCTTTTTTATTTGAAGTCCAGTCAAAGAGTCATATCTAGTCCTTGACCCTGTTGATCGAGGGTGTTGGGAGGGGTAGACCAGATACGATCTAACCTTTGGCATTATTTATACTCTTTTTTTTTTTTTTTTTTCACCATGGCATTATTTATACTAAGTTTCTGTTCTCAGGATTTGAACCTGCTTTCACCCGCTTTAGAGCCCGGGTATACCAGTGCATTAAGCAATGATCTCATTTGAGGTTCGTTGTAGATATAAATTAGTGATTTTTGTGTGGCTGCTAGATAAGCAAGGAGAATTATTTACCGCCTTTGATTTGAAATGAAAACACTTGCCTTTTCCTCAAATTCTTTACTTTCAGAATCTAGTGAAATGGAGTACCAAAGGGAGTATAGAATTTACACCCTGAATTCCATGTGGGTTTTGCAGCCAGGTGAATAGCCCCATGACGAGGTTACATGAGGAATATATACTGAGGTAGAGAGAAATAGTTGGTCTTGTGGTATTTGTTAGAAATTGGGCAAATTGATAATTAAGCATCAAGGGAGGGGAAAATTATGTATCTTGCTGTTTCGTAATAGCAATCTAGAATGCTAGCTGGCTTTTATAAATGACAAAAAATGTGATTTGTTAAAAGAAAATGCTTCTGATAGAATGTTTGAACTTCATTTTAGGACACGCTTTTGTCAAAATGCTATCAAATTTTTAGTTTTATGCCTGTATTGCACCCCAAATATATAAATTTTACCAAATTTTCGGTTGAACAATCTTTTCAGGTATGTCATAACTCCTTATAATGCATATCCACAGTTGCTTGGCTTACTCCTGAAGTTATTAAATGGTGAGCTAGCATGGTCTACTAGACGAGAAGTTTTAAAGGTATTTCTAGACCAATTTAGATTGCTGTAGATTTTCTTTTGGATATTGTTTTATGCTGAAACTATGTTGGGTTTCTCTATTCCAGGTTCTTGGCATTATGGGTGCGTTGGATCCCCATGTACATAAGCGCAATCAGCTAAGCTTACCAGGATCACATGGTGAAGTTACACGTGCTGCTAGCGATACAGGTCAACACATTCGCTCTTTGGATGAATTGCCTACAGATCTTTGGCCATCTTTTGCTACACCAGAAGATTATTATTCCACGGTAAAAGTTCAAAACTGAAATATGACACCTGTCAATGTTGGTTTCACTAATACATCTATTACTTCAGGTTGCTATCAATTCCCTTATGCGGATTCTTAGAGATCCTTCACTATCTAGTTACCACCAGAAAGTAGTTGGTTCTCTCATGTTTATATTCAAGGTTCGTTTTATGTCATGGATTATAATTTTGTTTCTCTGAAAATGTCATCACTATGTTATATTATAACCTTTAATTTTATTCATTTGTTCATTTTCTTTTTTTGCGAGACTAGTCCATGGGTCTTGGTTGCATCCACTACTTGCCAAAGGTTAGTTTGTTCTTGCAATTGATGTTGGATTCCATCTTATTCTGTTTTGTACATTTAGATCATTAACTTGAAGGAACAATATTTCTTGTTAAGGTGCTTTATCATGGTATGGAATGGGATCTCCTGTTGAAGTCATGCAATGAAAATTCATTTCTTATCACATTGAAATTATGCATATGTTGTGTGTATCAGTCCTCATCGTTGATGAGTAAATTAAGGATGTAATAAAAGAACTACTGTAATGTTTGAACGTCACGCTATCTCAGAGTGCGGTGTAAACTATGATATCCTAAAGTTATTTCTGAGTATTACTTTTTATGATGATAATCGTGGTGCAGGTGTAGTGTTCTAGACTGATTGTATTATGGTTGAACAAAATGTGGGTTCTATACTACCCTCTTCTGTCTGTAGGTTTTGCCTGATCTCTTTCACACTGTTCGTACCTGTGAAGAGGGTCTAAAAGAATTTATAACATGGAAGCTTGGAACACTGGTGTCTATTGTTCGTCAGGTATATTTAGCTGTCATGGAACTTCTTTTTCTCCCACAAATAATAATCTTTGCAATCTTTTGGAGATTGTTTATGGAATTTTGGTGTGCATGTGCAGCATATTAGGAAATATCTACCGGAGTTGCTCCTTCTAATATCTGAGTTATGGTCATCCTTCAGTTTACCAGCTGCTAATCGTCCCATGCATGGATCACCGGTATGTATGCCTTGTTTTTTGGACACAATTACCTGCAGACACAATTACCTGCATGTCATATACAATATTTTATTTGGGCTTCCTATTGTCTTCATTAATTTTCATACATTGGGACTTCTATCTTAGCTTCTGCATCTAGTGGAACAACTTTGCTTGGCGCTCAATGATGAATTCAGAACACATCTCCCTGTCATTCTTCCATGCTGTATACAAGTCCTGAGTGACGCGGAGCGGTTTAATGACTACACTTACGTCCGTGATATTCTCCACACCCTTGAAGTGTTTGGAGGTCAGTCCCTCTTTGGTTTTGTGATATTTTGTGCATTTTTTTATTTTATATTTATTCATTTCATTGGAAAATATCCAACCTTTATGGAAACTCTCATCCAAGTTCACACTATAGGGACATTGGATGAGCACATGCATCTACTGCTTCCTGCACTTATTCGATTGTTTAAAGTGGATGCTTCTGTGGAGACAAGACGCGCGTCAATCAAAACTCTGACAAGATTGATCCCTTGTGTTCAGGTAAGCACCGATGCTTGCTCGCTTTATAAACTGCGTAATGTATTTGAAAGTTGTATTAACAGTTTTCACCTTGGTTTTTGCTTTTTTACTTCTTCCTCATCAGGTTACTGGTCACATATCAGCTCTCGTGCATCACTTGAAGCTAGTTTTGGATGGGTCTGTTTCCGTGTCCTCTTGATTTATATAGAAACATGAAAATTCACCAGTTCCTTCTCAGTTTTTTTGAACTTCTCTGCTCTTCTAGAATCCAATTAAATGTTCCATTCTCATGCAAGTAGGAAACAGAAAAGATTACTGGAGTGGGGGAAAAAAAAGACACAAATGCATGCTATCTATATTTACATTTTCTTTTTATGATTGCACATGTCTGTCTTCTAGTCCCTTTATGTGTTGTTAATGAAAATATGGTTTTTGTACTTCATCAAGTTGAAACATTTTTAGTTGTCTGCTGAATTATAATGTTGACTCACTTACTTATTTTAAAATTTTAAATGGCTGATGCAAAATTTTCTGTAGTGAACCAATGCCTGATTTTTTGGGTGACTTGTGATACATTGTATTATGGTTTAAGAGTCAATGATTCTTAGCTGTGGACTGAAACCAAACCATTGTTTGAATTTGTCCACTTGCCGGATTTGCTGCCAGTTCCAGTCATATCTAGTCTTTTTTATTTTTTTTGAGAGGGTGGGGGAAGTCCTAGTAGACCTTGATATAGCTTTTTCATGAAGGATGGTTAGAGTTGGTGATATGGACCTTGATATAGTTTTTTCACGATGGATGGTAAGAGTTGATGATATTGCTTTGGCTATTATTTAAACTTCAAGTATTTCTTCTTGTAAAAACCTAAAAGCCCTTGCATTAATAATTTGAAAATCTATTTGCATTGATCTGTCTTTGATTCTGTTGATTGCTTCCATTTGGTTTTAATGGTTTGTTTTATGGTTCTCTTAATATCAGTTGGCTACCAGTTTTGGTTTCTCTCAAGTTTCCACTTTGATATATATATATATATAAAAATATATCTGGGTTAGACTATTTGCAGATTTATTTTCATAAGTTTTTCACATATGTTCTCTCTCCCCCCGACATTTATTAATATTTTTTTTTTGTTGCTTTAACTGCTTACACTTTTAATTTACAGGAAAAATGACGAGCTGAGGAAGGATGCTGTTGATGCGCTTTGTTGTCTTGCTCATGCTCTTGGGGAGGACTTTACTATCTTCATCCCATCGATTCAAAAACTTCTGTTGAAGCATCGCCTGCGGGTATTTTTTTTCCTTCCTGGTTGTTTTTGTTATCTGTATAATTTGGTTAAATATCTTCTTCTAAAGATTTTGATTGTTAACATAAATTTACTCTCAGCACAAGGAATTTGAAGAAATTGAAGGACGCTTGCAAAAACGTGAACCACTAATCCTTGGGAGCGCAGCTGCTCAAAGATTAAGTCGACGACTTCCTGTTGAGGTTATAAGTGACCCTCTAAATGATGTTGAGAATGATTGTTATGAAGATGGGACTGATGTGCACAGACAACTTAGAAGTCATCAGGTATATTTAAATTCTGATGTGGTGCACAGTATTTTGTGGTTTCCCTGTATGGCTATTAAAGGCCCGAAGCCCACTAATGTGCAAAGGTGACCTGGAGCCTAAGTGCGAGACGAGGCGCAAAGGTCCCATCATTGATTCTTACCATTGTCTGTATTCTAAAAAAAAAAAAAAAATGCAAAAAGTAACAAACAAACATCAGGCCACAGGCAGTGTTCTTCTATGGACATTCTTAAAGAAGAAGATAATAGTTATTTGCTCAGGGACTTTATTGTGTAATAATAATGTTTTTGGTCAATGCTTCGGTTGGACACCTCCAAGGAGTTAGGTGTGAAGTATATGAGCAACCCAAATGTAAGGATATGGGTGTTGAGATTTGTTCCTTTGATGTGGCATCTCCAAGGTGTTAGGTTGCAATTTCTGAGCACCCCAATTCTATGGACATGGGTGTTGAAATTTGAGCCTTTGATGTGTCAAATGACAAAATTATTTTATTGGCTCGTGTATCTTTTTTACTTATTGAAGATGGTGGACATATTCTTTGACCTCTACAAGTGTCATACAGGTTAATGATGGTCGACTACGCACTGCTGGGGAGGCTTCTCAACGCAGTACAAAAGAAGATTGGGCAGAATGGATGAGGCATTTTAGCATTGAACTTCTGAAAGAATCACCTTCTCCAGCTTTACGAACCTGTGCGAGGCTTGCACAGTTGCAGGTGTTACCGACTTTTCTGCTTTTTACATGTACCTTTCTTCATTTGAAATCAGCATTGACCTTTTTTTTGCAGCCTTTTGTTGGGCGGGAGTTGTTTGCAGCTGGTTTTGTTAGCTGTTGGTCACAGCTAAATGAGACAAGTCAAAGACAGCTAGTACGAAGTCTAGAAATGGCATTTTCTTCTCCAAATATTCCTCCTGAAATTCTTGCAACACTTCTGAACTTGGTATGTTCATTTTTCCTCCTTTGCCTGTGGAATATTTTCTTTTATTTCTAAACTACGCACGTCTTTTGAAAAATTGATGTTTCTGCTATTAGTATAGAATGAAAGGGTCAAGAGTGAGGTTTTGTTTATAATTGGACCATGCATTCTGAAAAATATTGATTATATAAATTTAAGAGTGTCGTTTTATTGTATTTTGTTATGCACATTAGTTACTTGATTTGAGAAATCCTTTTAATGAAATTAGACAAAATGGAGGTTTTCGTTTTTTCTTTTTTGAATACTTTCTTACAAAAACGAGAATAGATGTTTCTTATGTACTACTCAGGAACTGAAAAATGTTTATGCAGTCTTAGTTTTATGTTTGTTGCTTCTCTTATTGACCTATAAGGGTGACTTGGTACTAAATGAGTGAAATATTCTTGGAGTTCAGGTTTTTTTCTTGCTTTTTTGGTGGATTGGATGGAGAGAAATTTTGAGTATTGGAAAACATTTTTAATGGAATCAATGCGTGAATTGAAGTTCCTTCTTAACTTTCGGCTTTGGCTTCAAAATATCCCAAAGAAGGGTAAATTGCAAAAACTCCCTTGCTATATACAGAATGTGCAGATACCCCCTTGGTGTTCAAAAAGCGCCCAACATTTTTCAAATTGAGTAAATAAGGACAATCCTTCAATTTGAAGACTTAAATACCTAAAATACCCTTGAGACAAAATTTTAAAAAGAAAATACTGATTTCAAAATTTTTAGAAATTCTTTTTTGGGGTTTTTATAAAAAGAATTGGTCAAAATTGATGATCATGGGGCAATTTGCTACAAAATTTCAAACTATAGGGATTTTTATGCACATACTAAATAGCAGGGTGTTTTTACACATTTTTTTTATAGCAGGGTTTTTTTGTTGCACTTTACCCGCCCAAATAATTGCCTGTAGTGTAGTTCTATATGATGAATGGGAGCTTATTCTACTCTTACACATTGAATAAAGTCTCTTGCTTTTAAAATGATCACTCTTGTGATGTTTCCAAACTAATTTTTGACTTGTCTCTTGGGTATTATGTTCAACTTGGTGCTGGTAAGTTTATTGAGAACCATGAACACACGAAATGGGAGCGCAGCCCAATAACAAAAGCTAGACCAGGAAGGTCACTATACAAGCAATGTATCCACAAAAGCCACTATATCCCCCACTGAATTACAATTCCGACACTGAACCCGAAAGTATAAGGTATAAAGAATAGAGAACTTGAGCACCCCTGCTGGAACCTCAACCCCATCAAAGGACTGCCTGTTTTGCTCACGCCAGAGCCCCCACAATAAACAAAGGGGCACCACCCTTCAAGCATCTTGGACTTGCCTCCTTACTGCACACCCCGGCCAAGCCTCAAGCATGCTCCACGGGGACTCCAGCATGAACCACAAAACACTAAAAAGGGCTAAAAGCATAGCCCAACAATCTCGAGCTACCTGGCAATGCAAGATACGATGACTGATCCTTCATCTTCCTTGCACATACAACACCAATTGACTATAAGCCCCTCCTCAGATTTGTTAATAGTCAAAATCGTCCCTAGAACCACCGTCCAACAAAAGGCTACCTTGAGAGGAGCCTTGGTGCGCCAAACTGACTTCCAAGGGTAGGAAGGTCCTCAAGTATCCGTCATGCTCCTGTAAAAGAATGCACCTCGAAAAACCCTTGACTACCCCCACCACCACCACCGCCTCCTGACGATACAACACAGCCAGAAGCTCACCCAAGGCTTCCAACTCCCAATCCTGGAAGGGTCCCACGGACTGAATGTCCCAAAACAACCTCCCACCGTCAAGATGATAGCAGCTGGCCACCAGTACCTCCTTATCCACAACTGTCCTATAAAGACGCAGATAGATGGTCTCTAGCGAGCGATCCCACCCCACAAATCCTTCCAGAAACCGACCCTTTTTCCACACCTCACTCAAAAACGAATATGTTTGGAAAAGACATCCCACCCTTTCCAGATGCCATTTTTATGTTTAGTATAAGGATTGTTTCTTGTGCTGAGGACAGGCGACTCAGTCACATGTGCTCACGGAAGTGCTAAATCTAGTGGGACTCGAGTTTTCTTCAATCGTGCTTCTCAGCCTTCATCACCATTGCTTTTGCGATCCGTCTGAACGAAGTGGTGACTCGACTTGTGTACCCATTTTCTTTGTCAGAAATCTAGGAATTAGAATTGTAAAAGTAAGAGTTGACCGGGGTCTCGTTAAAGTCTGTATTTGCTCATTAAATACAATTGAATCATGATAAAACTTTGTATGGTTTCATTGTACTTTTGTCTTCAATAAATACCGACATGTTTTCAGGTTAAATGCTATTTATTCTCTACTAAACTCAACATAGGTTGTCACCATCTAAGGTTGGGTGTATGAACCCTTTTGGGTTTGTGAAATAACGGTAATGGTCCTTGTAATTTAAGCGTATCTATGGACACATGCCTGCAAAGGACTAAATTCTATAGAAACTAAATGTGCTGAGTTCGACTGAAATGCAATCATTACATTTTCCAAGATCCCCGACGCCTTACGTTATGTTTTCCTCTTGACATGAGTTGAACTCCCAATGTATCTTGCTAATTGATTTACAAGATGAATTGGATACTTTAATCTACGGTTGGCTGTCAAGAAACTTAGAATGGGAAAGGTTGCAAGGACAAAATAAAAGAAGTAAATTTACTCTGCAACTTGACTTTCATGTGTGACACTTTCCATGATCCTTGACGTCATACGTTATGGTTTCCTCTTAACATGAGTTGAACTCACAATGTTTCTTGCTAAACTCTTTATCTGTGGTTCGTTGTCAAGCAACTTAGAATGGAAAAGGTTGCATGGACAAAATAAAAAAAGTAAATTTACTCTGTTGTTCATTTTCAGTGATCTGTTTATTAATTGAGCTTTTCAGGCGGAATTCATGGAACATGATGAGAGACCTCTTCCTATAGACATCCGTCTCCTTGGAGCTCTTGCAGAAAAGGTCTGCTTCTTCTGAAAGGAGTTTTAGGGTATTGATGTCTTGTACCTACATTACCTTTTTCTGTGCATCAATGATAACGTCTTTTACTTGTCAACTGTTCATTCCAGTGTCGAGCATTTGCAAAGGCTTTACACTATAAAGAGATGGAATTTGAAGGTGCATGCTCCAAGAAGATGGATGCAAACCCTGTTGCTGTAGTTGAAGCACTCATACATATAAACAGCCAATTACATCAACACGAGGTGTTTATTCATCTCCATAGAGAAGATAATTTCTTCTGAGTTCAGCTTTGCTATTACTTCATAATGCTCACTTTGATCCTTGTCATATTTCAATTAAACCCGGTCTTGCAACTTTGGTGTATGTTTTCTTAGGCTGCAGTTGGAATATTGACCTATGCCCAACAAAATTTGGATGTTCAACTGAAGGAGTCATGGTATTGTTGAACATTAAGTTATTACAGTCATTTATGCTTGCTGCTCCTTTATATGTTTCCGAGGAATTAGTTGAATCACCTTAGTTTTAATACACATTTTTATGGATTGCTAATTTCGTGCATTGTCTTCCCCATATTTTTGTCTGTTGAAGTACTCACATTTGCTTGCACTTTCAAGGTATGAGAAATTGCAGCGGTGGGATGACGCCCTCAAGGCATACACTGCCAAAGCCTCTCAATCATCGAGTCCGCATCTTGTATTGGATGCTACATTAGGTTTGTATTAAATTAAGGCGTACAATATTTGGTTGCTATTGTGTTGTTTAATGCTTTTATGTTCTTATTCACAATTTCTGTTTCCATAGATCCAAATGAAAGGAAAACATTTTCCCAAAAGTTTGTTCACTTTGCAAGATTTTATGCATTGGAACTTACTCTTCAGAATAATAATGCCAGTTGAGAGGGTAAATGTATCACTATTTTGGAGAGTGGGCAGTCAAGTCCGAGAGGCTTGGAGAGTGACCCCCTTCGTTGTGGTAGGGTTTGTGGTGGGAGTGGAATAGGAGATCCTTTAATGTAGAGGAAGCTCCCATTTGAGTGCAAAAACATTCCATATTGAGTTCTCTAATTTTTTTGGTAAAAGGTGTCATTGTAAATCTCTGAAGGACTTTGTCAATTTTGTGGACAGTCTGAGAGATTTGTGATTTTTTTGGTCTTTGTGTTGTTGTATGTGGGTGCATTCCCCTTTTGATCGCTCTTGAATTCTTATATATATATATAACCCCCAAAACTGAACTAATTAAGCATTCTCTAATGCCCCCTTTGTGATTGCACTGCACCTTGACCGTTACTGTGTTGACCTTGTGGGCGGGTGTGTGTAAGCGTGTGCAGGTGACACTAGTAGGCTACCACACTGGGTGAGCTACAGGTGCACAATCCCACATCGCGTGGGTCTGGAGGGGGCAAGTGCTGTGTGTAGATTTAACACCCTTCTATGACACAACGCGTTTTAAAGCCGTGATGGCCGTGAACCCACCAGAATTCTAGAGTTAAGCGTGCTTAACTTGGAGTAGTACTAGGATGCCCTTAGGAAGTCTGGTCTGGGGGAGCTAAAAACGGACAATATTGTGTCTGGCTAAGGTGAGGGTCATTACAAATGGTATCAGAGCCTGACCCAGCCGGAAGTGTGGCCAATGAGGACGTTAGGCCCAAAAAGAGAAACGCCGGGGGGGGGGGGGGGGGGGTGATTGTGGCGACCTTGTGGGCGGGTGTACCAATAGGCTACCACATTGGGCGAGTTACAGGTGCACAATCCCACATCGCTTGGGTGTGGAGGGGGTAAGTGCTATATGTAGATTCAATACCTTTCTATGACACAACGCGTTTAAAAGTCGTGATGGCCTTGAACCCACTGGAATTCCAGAGTTAAGCGTGCGTAACCTAGAGCAGTACCAGGATGGGTGACCCGCTAGGAAGTCTATGGTCTGGGGGGGCCAAAAGCGGACAATATTGTGTCTGGCTAGGGTGAGGGTCGTTACAGTTGTATAAACTGATACTATGATTTAAAATATTAGCCCGGCTCTTTTGGCAATTGTATGGATAAGCATTCCTATTGCTTGCAAGGCCAGTATTGTACTAGTGATGTTGTGTAAGGGTCACTTGTGTTCCCAGTTTTAATATATCTTTGGTCAACGCTTGGTGATTCTGATTGTATAACCAACTTACTAACCTAGGATTAAGGAATTTTTATCCTTTTCTTTTGCTTAGAATTGAAAATTGACTTTGCTTATGGTTGCCGCTCTATCCTTGCATGAGAAAGCAAAGGCAATGTTTGACAGATACTGCATCAGGTCTTAAAGCAGTATGTGATATCACAACCCATGCTCGTGTCACCCCAATTGCTGTGTTGTAATGAATTGTGTATGTTCAAATGTTTCAGAGCATTTAAGCATTATATTTCTTGTGTTAATGCTAAAGGCTTGTCCTTCATTTTGGTTTTTTTTTTTCAGGACGGATGCGATGCCTTGCTGCATTGGCTCGGTGGGAAGAGCTTAACAACCTGTGCAAGGAATACTGGGCCCCTGCTGAGCCAGCTGCTCGACTGGAAATGGCACCAATGGTTTGTTATTTATTTTTATGTGTGTTAAATATATGCTTACTTCTTTTCCCAAGTATGTGATATGGTTTTCTCAGGCTGCCAGTGCTGCCTGGAACATGGGAGAGTGGGATCAGATGTCAGAATATGTTTCTCGACTGGATGATGGTGATGAAACCAAACTTCGGGTTTTAGGGAACACCGCTGCCACCGGCGACGGCAGTAGCAATGGTACATTTTTCAGGGCTGTTCTATTAGTTCGTCGCGGAAAGGTATTCCTCTAATACTAAATTTGACTTTAACTGGAATTATATTAAATATTAATTAATTATTTACTCAGTTTTATTGTTTTCTCTCCAGTATGATGAAGCGCGTGAATTTGTCGAGAGAGCTAGAAAGTGTTTAGCAACCGAGCTTGCTGCTTTGGTACTTTCTTTAATCACTCATTTATTATCACATTTTATCATACTATGGAAAGGCTTTGTTAATCATTAGAATTAAATACTTGTTTTTTTTTCCATTTAATTGTTTACTCAATTGACACATTGAATGGTAGTTCGTTTTTTCTTATTGTTGCTAAGACAACAGGACCACAGGGATGTATAATTTGTGAACGTAAGATTATGACATTGGTTTGATGGGGTACTAATTTTTTTGAAAAGTAATAATATACTTGAAAGCGTTCAAAAGGGTAGCGCATCCCAGAAACTACACAGAGGCCATGGCCAAAAAGGACCCTAAGCAAGGAACCCAAAAAGTGGACTATCTCCTCTATTGGTTTACAGTTTCTCCCCATAACCCAATTAAAAATAGACTAAAAAAAAAAAAAAAAAGAGAGCTAACAATAAGATATTTAACAACCCCAATAGAAGATTCCTCTCCATCAAAGGAGCTTCTATTCTGCTAATCCGCTCCTCCCAAAGACACCACCATACAAAAGGTGATGGGGTACTGTTTTGTGAATCAAATATGCTAAATATCATCTTAGTCAGTTTTTTCCCCCTTGGTAAATAATGTCAGCTTAATCAGGTCTGATTTTACCATAAATCATTCTTCAATATTGATGCAGATCATTTAATGGTGTCTTGCAATTCAATAAGAAATAATAGTCACTACCTGTTCTTCTAGAAGTAGTGATTATAGTTTGGTATTGATAAGTGATGGCTTACGGAAGTGGTGTTAATGTGGTGTGGGAACTCCAAATTTCATTTTAAAATATAATCAGGAATCACTAGTTGTTGTATTATAAAGGTGACACTTTTTTCATCTTAACAATCTTCGTCTTTACGAATTTATTATATTATCAGTTATTTAGTTGTTGAACACTATTTGACTTTTCTCATATTTCCCTTCATCAATCGGGGTTCAACTGGAGATTGAATTAGTACTTAGTTGTAACAGGTGTAAGTGGATCTCAATCCCAATTTGCGTCAAGTTGTATTGTATCAGAGCCTCTTTTTCGTTTTTAGATTATTGCGTACCTATGATTCGGAATAGGAATTATTTTAATGAGATACCAGAACACTGAGACATCTCAAGCTGTAAATATTGGTAACCTTTTTGCAAGATATGATCTGAGAAACATGCAACAAATTAATCAATTGTGCTGTAGTATGTTACACGGACCCTTCAAAAGTAGTTGAATTACCGGTGTTGGACACACTATACCTGGGCATGGGTATGAGGTATGTGCCCGACACTTTTAATTGGACATGAACCTAAAAGGTATATCAAATGATTCAATTTTATTATATTATTCCAACCTTGCTTGACTTTCGCCAGTTCTGTACCTTTGTGAATTAAAATTGAAGTCCAACAAAATCAGTTTATCAATCGCCTAAACCGAATTATAAGAACAACTTCAGTTGGATGTTGTTGGTGGTCAAGAAGATTTCGGTTATACATTTCTAATAGTATCAAATGTCATGCAGAAAAGTAACATAACCCTAACGCCCTGGTGGTGGTCAAGGCCAAGGACATGAGGCGGCAAATACTGCTTTGGGAGTAGGAATGCACGATTTCAGTTCATAGGAAATAAAATAAAACGTTTGTAGCCCTGGTAAAGGACATCACAATTCCTCTCATTGTTAAATAGCAGTCAGTAACTTGTTGGTTGCTGAAGTAGAGTAGTTAAAAACAACACAGAGGAGTCATGTTGACAATAAAAGAACAAGAAGGTGATTGGAGGTGCAATAACTTCTTTAGACAAGGACGACTTTGCAATATCAATAGTGATGTAGGTAGTTGCGGTAATTTAGTTTCCAAAGCAATGGTGACAAAGCTCAAACTGGAGTCACATCCAAAGTTGTACCAAATGGCTTGGTTCAACGGGGGTGGTAATGTAGATGTATGGGTGCAATGTCTTGTTCCTTATCTATTGGGAATAATTGAGAAAAAGTCATGTGATGTGGTGGATATGTAAGATTATTATCTGTTGCTGAAGATGCCATGACAATTTGATAACATGACTGTCCATCTTGGTGAAAGTGATGCTCTTTCAGGAGAATGGAGTTAAGGTGATTGCATCTCCAGTGAAAGATGAAGATCTTTCCAAGTCTGAAAAGGAGAACGAGGATTGCTTATTTGACTACTAGATTTTAAAGGGAGTTTCAGGCTCATGGAGTTGGATATGCATTTTTGGTCAATGAAACAATGGAGAAACAAGTTATTCTTGGTAGAATGACGGTATCACAAGGGAATTTAGGAAAATTCCCTTTACCTCCAAAAATGAGTATTTAGCATCATATTGATTTAATACTGAGAGCTAGCTTGTCAAACTCACTTCATTATAGTCCAAAGGGGCATAACAACTGGATGCCCAGTCAAGGAGCTACTGCAAAATGGATTTACTTGTGAATACATGAGTCCATTTGCAGTTCGACCCCTCTTAAATCTAAAAAGATGGAACTCGTAGAATGTGTGTTCCTGGTAATAGAGCTATCAACAAGATGACTATAAAGTACCGTATGGATGATATGTTGAATTTTTTGCAATGGGGAAATTGTTTTTGAGAATTGATCTTGAACGTGGTTATTATCAAATCAGAATTTGCAAAGGTGATGAGTGGAAGACATCATTTAAAACTAAAGATGGGCTTTACAATTGGGTAGTGATGCCTTTTGGTTTGTTAACACACCTAGAACTTTCACGCGTTTGGTGAATCAAGTTTTGAAGCCATTTATTTTGAAGTTTTTAGTAGTATATTCAGATGATGTTTTGACTCTCAGTCCAAGCAAATAGTATCAACTGTAGCATGATAGGGACGAATTAGAAGTCCTGCAATAGCATAAACCTCATGCTAACTTGAAAAAGTGCCAATTGTCACTAATTCATTTACTTCTTTCAGGTTATGTGGAGTTATAGAAGTGGATGAAAGTAAAGTTGAAACCATCATAAGTTGCTAAATGCAAATAATGTTGGTGAAGTACACAATTATTATGGCTTAGCTACATTTGACATGCATTTTATCAAGAATGTCATAACTATAATTACTTTTAGAAACTAAGGCCTGTTTGGTTTAGATTTCAAAAAACAGTTGTTAACAACTCAGAAAACTGAAAACTGTTTTCAGACAACTATAGAAGGCTGTTGTTTGAAAACAGGGGCATGTTTGGCTCAGTTTTGAGAGAACTATAAAAGGCAGTTCTGTGACAACTAACATTTAACCGAGTTCTCAGAAAACAATTTTGGGAAACTTTCTACCAAACAGAATTGTTTACAAATTTCCGATTTTCAGTTCCCAGAAAGCAAAAAAAACTGTTCTCAGAATACTGAACCAAACAAGACGTTTCAATATTTTTAAGTGAGTTTTCATTAAACAATTTCAAAAACTGTCAACCAAACGTGATGTTCTCAGAAAATTGAACAAAACAGGTGCTTGTATCTTAAATAAACAGAAAACTTTTTTCTGAGAACTATTAAAGACACTTATCTTAAAACATGATTGTTTTCCTAACTTAGTTTTCAAAAACAATTTCCAGAAAGTTCTCCAAGAACAAATTTTTTTTTTCAGTAAACTTAACTAAAAGGCCCTAATTGTACAAAGAAAGGATTGTTTGAACCGTCAAAGCAAGCTGAAGAAAGCTTCCAACAAACTAAAGAGAGATATTCAGCACCTATCATATAATTATTAGCCTTTGAGGAAAACTTTGAGGTATAATGTGATGTTTATGGATTCTAAGTCAAGTAAGAAGGCCGATAGCTTTCTATAATGAGAAATTGAATGATACACAGTGATGACAAGTCAGTAATGATTAAGAATTCTATGCAATCCTCTAAGCTCTATGCACTAGGAGCATTGTTTAGTACAAAGTGAGTTTGTTTTGTTCTCATATCATGAAGCCTTACGAAGCATATAGGTGGTCAAAGTAGTTAAATATACATACTCCAGCATTCACAGATCAACTTGTCTACATCCCACCTCCCAACATAGCCACTGATACCCTCCTTTGGTTTGCCTCTCCTAACTCCACCACCTTGTCATTTTTTTCTCCTTCTGCCCCTGTGCTTGGTCACACATTGTTTGGTTCAAATATCATGTTCCCAGGTGGAGCTTCATTACATGGCTGGCTTTGAAAGATAGAACGAGGACACTTGACAGCCATGCTATGGCTAACCTTCATTGACCAAATGCATGTTATTTATGTTTATCAGCAGCTAAGTCCATGGATCATCTGTTCTTCCGGTGCAGTTTCACTTCTCCCACATGGTTAATGTTTGCTCATAAGGCCGGATTCTCTCCAACTACTAGCTGGTCCAACCCTGTCTTTTGGTGCTCTATTAATTGGACTGGTACCACAGGTTCTTCCCTTCTACGTAAGCTAATTTTCACTGCATCTCTCTACTTCATTTGGATGGAAAGAAACAACAGGGCTTACAGACAATAGGTTTCCCCTCCAGACGACGTTTCAACCATGATTCTAAGGGCACTTAGAAGTAAACTTGCCTCTCTCAAGCTTGTGAATGCTGCCACTCTTAGGCAAGCTACTTCTCCGGATGACCTTCTTGGCCTTCTGCAGCAAGAAGCATGTATTGTTGGGGGGAGCAGATGGTTGCTGGACTCTTGTTCTGATGATGATGTCTCTCCCTTCCTTCTCTATTTTGGGATCTCCCATGTCTTCCTCCTTTTTGTGGTTGTGCTTTTGCTATTTTGTGTTTGCCTCTTCCTAGGGCTGTTATTTGTATAGTATGATCGCAATTGTTCAGTTGCTATTGCAACTTGCTGGCTATAGGCCTTGCTTGCTCTATTGAGTTCCTGTACCTTTAATCTTTTGTCTATAATACTTGCCCATTTTACCGGGGAAAAAAAAAAAAAATTCATCTTCTTATTGAGCACAATTTGAAACTAACAATAAGGTTGTAAATGCACTTAATAGAGAACAATATTGCTGAACGCCTTGTCTACAACTATTGAGAGGTTTGATTCTTTCAAAGATTTGTATCTTACTGATCCACATTTGTCTCAATCAGGGACAGCGATGGGCATATGTGCTACGTAATGCATTTCTGAAGGGCAATCAACTGTGCATGCAAGATTGTTCTCTACTGTAGAAAACTATTCTGATGTGAATGGAGGTGTTTGGTTGGACATTTTGAACAAGTTAAGAACTATGCTGATCGAGTAGAAGCTCTTTCCACCAAAGATGAGATGTGATGTGCACAGATTAGTAGATAAGTGCCAAATGTGTTCTAAAGGAAGAGCTCAAAATACCAGCTTTCATTCTCCATTCTCTGTTCTAGTGCCTATGGAAAGATGTATGCTCCATTTGGTAGGAGGGATGAAAAAATAGATGGAAGAGAAAGGGGGAGGGGATGGATGTGGTGACTTAAGGGAAGGAAAAGTGTCGAGCCCTCCTTTTGTTTGGCTGGTTGGAAGGGAAATAAATGCATAATGGTATATTTTTATCAGTATACCTATATAAATATAAATTAATACATTTAAATGAGGTTAAAAATGTAATTTTCTATCATCATTTTTGTCTCTCCCCTCTTGCGCTCACTTTTGACGGAAACAAAATGATGGGCCTAGAGGGATGCCTCATCCCTCCTCCCATCCTTCCCTCAACCTCTCCCCCCTACCAAACAATGATGTATCCCTTCTCTCTTTCCTCTTCTTCCATCCTACCGAACGCTTGCATATGCATCTAATTTCTGTTGGGCTAGTGTAGAACACAAAAGGGGAGTGGGTTCTATTGATTTAATTTGGTGCAAGAAAACTAGGAGACTTCAAGTATCACAACTTTTACTTTAGGGAAGTTGTTCCTTGCATGGTGTTCCAGAAATAATCACATCGGATTTAGACTCAATGTTTTTGTAACATTCTTTCTGGGCCTTAGGCTGGTAATTGTGAGGGTTAGAGCTGGCACCCTAAGCTTTAATAGTTTGGTACACTCAATCTAGAAGTAGAACTAGGGGCAGTGTGAATAGGCCTTGAAACTAAATTAATTTTCAATTTCAAATTTCTTAATTAATCATGTAAAAAATAAGAAGAATGCAGTGAATATAAAAAGCATGCGGCACAAGACAACCAATTTTTACGTGGAAAGCCCTGTAGAGAAAAAAGTATGAGACCTAGTTTAGACATATCAAATCCAATATCGACGAATAGTAATTACAACCCAAATATCAGTTCTAAACATTAGCGTCACCAGAGTTACCTCAAATTGAGACTCATGCCAGTTGTTCCTCCTTGGACACTGTTGTATTCAATATATAGATATGCTCTTAACATGATTGGCTCTTTGACTTGTGAATTGATCTCATCTACTATTCCTTTTGTTGGTTGTGCTGGATTTCTTAATGCACTTGTGTTGTAATTATTCAACACTCAATAACACTTGCCATTTAAATACTTTGACGATGATTGAAAGAGAGAAAAAAAGGGTCTTAACCATTCATATGCTAAATTGCTTGGTTATACATTCTGAAAACACAGGGTGCTTTATATAGACTTTGGAGGCTGAAAATTTAATTTAATTTTTTTTAAATGATATGAGACCAGAATATCTGTGGAAGGGTGACAGGGAGAAGGATGAAAGACCCTTCCATAAAGTTGAAACTAGCTTATAATCAATGAGTATAGTGACAATAAATTAAAAAAGAGTAATGTAAGCAGCCAGTACAATAAAAAAACTTAAGTAATTTTGTAGGGCAGTCAATTTAATAGAAAAGTCTGCAGAATTAAGGTATCGAGTGTTTGAAATATTCTGGAACACATAGCTGGACATTTATATTAGCTGTCTTATATTAATGGGTGTTCGAGGACTCTTCTTTAGATGTTAATTGTGGCAAGATTATCTGCATATTTCAGTTATACAGGTGATTCTGAGACTCTTGTTTAGCTGTTAATTCTTATATGACTATTTGCATATTTCAGTTATACTGACGGTTTGAGTTGACCCTGAAACCTTGCCACAGAGCATCCACTTCATAGAAATAGCATTTTTTTAATTGAATTTCTTGTTCCTAAATGTTCTTAATTTTAAGTATTTTATTGTTTAGGTTCTAGAGAGTTATGAACGTGCATACAGCAATATGGTTCGTGTTCAGCAGCTGTCTGAATTAGAGGAGGTTAATTTTATTTTCTAAAGTTGCTTTTATGCTTTAACTGAAATTCTTATAAACAAGCATGCGTCATTGAGCTCATAGTAAATGGAGAAAATTTACTCTCAACAGGTCATTGATTACTGTACCCTTCCTCTTTTGGGAAACCCTGTAGCTGATGGGCGACGGGCTCTCATTCGCAATATGTGGAATGAACGCATAAAAGGTGCGAAACGAAATGTCGAGGTAAATATACTATAAGCTTAATTCGCTTTTTGTTGTTGTTGATTAGATGACCGGTAACTATTAGGAATTAACATGTTATTTTCCAAGAATATAAGTTATTTGATCTGTATAGGGAGTATCTAGGGATTGGATTTGATCTGATCTTAATTTGATTTTATATGATATTATTTTCATCATGTGCCTATTAGAGGCATAGGATCAGTGATTTGATTTACTTTCCACTTATATAATATTCAGTCCTAATATAAATTAGGAGCATGGCTAATGAGAATTTGTGGCTTACAAGAGCCTTTTACATTCAACTTGGTATCAGAGCCAAGAACACGACACACACTTCACTGCTTGATCTCTACTTCATATTCTTTTGGTTCATCCTCTCCTCGTTTTGTGTTCTTTAAATTTTTCAGTCACCAACCACTAAACCACACCCAAGCAAACCAAACCCCTTCTGGGGTATTTCTTCTTCCCTCCATCGCTTCGTGTGGTAGAGGGGTCTCTCTCTAAACCAATGACCAGCTTGGTCGTTATGTGCTGTTGACGAATCGTCCAGCCTCTTTTCATTCTCTGACGACTTCCCGCAAGGTTAGTACGTCCGACTGAGTTTTACTCTTGCAGACAGAGCTGCTCACTTGGAAGACTTCTCCAGCCCTTGTGACTTGGAGACAACAGTATTTACAATTTGCAATTTGGTAAGAATCTGTGATTTGATTCTATATCATAACAATCTGAGAAATGGAATCTGTTCGGCATAGTTCCCTAACCCAAAGGATTACTACAGTTTTATTAAATGGGAAAAATTTTCCATCTTGGTCGAGATCAGTGAGACTTTATTTAGGGAGTCGGGGTAAAACTAGATATTTATTGGGCACTATTAAAAAACCAGCACCTATTGAACCTACGTTTACGCAATGGGACATTGATAATTGTACCATTCTTGGGTGGTTATTCAATTCTATGGAGTAGTGTATTTATTATATGTTTATGTATCATGAAACTGTGCACACCTGATGGATTGCTCTCACTAAGACTTATGCTCATGCTCGTAATGAAGCCCGGATCTATGAGTTGCATTGAGATATCTCACGAGCTACCTAAGACGATTTGAAGCTGTCAGTTGCAAATTACTTTGCCTTCCTTCAGTCACGTTGGGAGGAACTTGCTCACTATGAGTCCCTTGGTGATGTCTCAGTAGAGGCTGCTGGGATTATTTAGGTTAGACACGAGCGCCATCAGATTTATCAGTTTCTTATGGGACTCCGTCTAGAATTTGTGGCCCTTTGTGCTCAAATTCTAAATACTACACCTTTACCCTCTCTTTTCAAGGCTTTTGCTATTATTGATGGGGATGATCGTCGACGTCAGGTTACACCTTCGATGGCTCTTGCTACACTTCCTGCAACTGACACTGATCAGATGGCATTAGTCGCTTCTTTTAGACCATCTGGTACTCGCAACCATGGCCGTGGCAGCAACCGTGGACAGGGAAGTTCTACCATATGTGCACATTGTGGAAAAATTGGTCATGCTAAGGATAGGTGGTGCTTCCAGCTCTACCTATACCTCAGATCTAGCAGCACTACAACTTCTTCTACTGCTACTATTGTTGAGTCCTTTGGTGCCCATGAACCACCTGCTCCTCCGCCTGGATGTATTAATATGCATCAGTTGCATACATAAATTGGGTCTATTATCTTAGATCATTATCACAGGCATCTCTCCCTTCAGCTACATCTGCTGCAACTCACTTAGGTACCATCCCTTCAGCTACATCAACTGCAGCTCACTTAAGTCCATCTGAATTCCATGCCTCTCTGTCTGGTATTGTTCCTCCAACTTGGGTCATAGATTTTGGTGTTTCTGATCACATGACTGGTGAGTCTCGATATTTTTCGGATATGGAAGCATCCTTCGGGCAGGTACGCCTTGCTGATGATTCTTTTACACCGATCATTAGTAAGGGTACTAGCCCTTTATCTCCTGATTTATCTTTACAGTTTGTTCTTCATACGCCTAACCTTTCCCTTAACTTATTATCTGTTAGCTGCTTAACTCGTTCCTTGGCCTGCTCAGTGACTTTCTTTCCTGGTCATTGTGTTTTTCAGGACCTAGCTACGAAGGGAATTTTTGGCAGGGGGTATGAGAGGGACGGACTGTACATCTTTGGGACAGTCATTGTTCACGGTAGTTGCAGGTTCATCTCGGCCCTCATGGACAACGACACGTGCTCCTCAATGTGCCGTACGCGAGTGGGGGAAGGAAGACTGCGAGTTGCACGTGTAACGCCCCCCTCCTTTCCTATTCTAGCTCTTCTAATTTTGAACGAAATGTTGGAGGCCAACCACGTGGACGGGCAAGAAGGTTAACAGGCGTCTTTCATTCAGCTATTGCTGGGCCTAACCTGTGTATTGGGCTTGATAAGCCCACGGTTGGGACTACGTTGTGTAATGGGCCGCAGGAGTTTTATGATTTAAAGAGGAAGGTTACATGGGGCCCAATAACCTGATTTCCATATCTTTTCTAAATAACAAGCGCAACCCAAATCTCATTACAGAGCCCAGCAATACAGAACCTCCACAGTGTCTTCTTTATGGTTCTTCTGTAAATAGATCGTGGACTTCGCTAGAGAAGAGGAGATGGATGAAAATTAGTGAAGGCGAGGCTGGTTTACGTTTGAACGAGGAGGTTTTTCGACATAATTAGTGCTGCGCTGATCCATCAGAAGTGTCTTTTCCTTCCATCCCTGCACAGTCGAAGGAAAGACCTTTTAGATTTTCATCTCGTGGTTCTCACATGCCTTGCCACGGTAATAGATGGTCTAGAAAAGATAAGTAGAAGTGGATACGCACCTCTTCTATCAACGACCCAAGTATGTCCTCTGCTCATCACCTTTGGAGCTTTCTTACTTCTCCTCCTTCTTCTTGTACTCCTTCTTGTGGGGTGTTGAGGAGTGATGTTGAGAAGGCGATGAAGAAGAGTTGTGTGTTACCAGTTGTGCCTTCGGTGCCTGAATTTGATCCTGGCTTGATTACGGAAGGTAAGATTGCCTGTGGTCCTGTTATCCCTGGGCATATTGATCCAGTTGCTTGTGCAGTTAAGGACTTGTTTGAGGGGGTAACGGTCTGTGTGGGGCGTGATCTTCATTTTCAGCTGTCCAATGATTCGGCTTTGGCCCTGCTCAAAGAGCTTCGTTTATGTGTAGTTTTGAAAGGCTTTTATTGTTTGCCACCTGTAGGGGTAGAGGCGAATGAGTCTATCAAATTCTTTAGTCATGGAATGCGTGACTATGTTATAGATATGGATTTGATGACAGAACTGTCTGTAAATGGAAGAGATAGTGCAGAGGAGGTGATTGATGACCTGGTTTCCATCCAACAGGTCTGTTCTAACGAGCTTGTTCCATGGCTGGAGACTGACCATACTAATTTGGTAATGGAGGAACCATTGGCTGTTGTGCGACCTGGTTGCCCTGAAATGGCTGCTGATATGTGCAAGGATTGGGTAGTCGCAAATATAAGAGCTACTAGTGAGCTGTTGGGTGTCTCATATGAGGGCAATAGCGATCAGGCATTATCCATTCTTCATGCAATTGTGGAAGGAAGAGAGGTTGCAGTGACGAATGAGGTTGTGAACATGAAGCCTTTATCATCTTGGAAAGGGGAACAGGAGGTCAAGAACCTTATCTCTTATGTCAATTATGAAGGGAAGAGAGGGGCAGTGAGGGAGAGGGGAAGGACTAGAAGTAAGAGCGTAAGGAGGGGAGGAGGGGAGATAATCGTATTTGGTTCTTAATGAACCTACGAATCATTACTTGGAATGTTCGTGGTCTCAACGATCCAGACAAAAGGAGGGTGGTAAAGGTAGCTTTCAGGAAGTGGGGAGCCCAGGTTGTTTGTCTGCAAGAATCCAAGTTGGCATCCATTTCTAATGGGGTTGTTAGGAGTCTCTGGGGAGGAAGGTTTGTGGAATGGGAGTCCTTGAATGCTTCAGGTACTTCTGGTGGAATTTTAGTTATGTGGGATTGCAGATGGTTGTTTAGGATGGACGTGTGGATGGGGAGGTTCTCTGTGTCCTGTGTGTTTAAGATGGAAGAGGACAATTTCAGATGGGTTTTCTCTGGGGTCTACGGACCGGTTGTTAATAGTGATCGGCTTCTTTTTTGGGAGGAGCTTTGCCATGTTCAAGGACTGTGGTCTCTTCCTTGATGCTTGGGTGGGGATTTCAATTATGTTAGATCCCCGTTAGAGAAGTTTACAGGTGGAAGGTGGTCTTTACATATGGTTCAGTTTTCTGACTTTATTGATGAGCATTTTCTCATTCATTTACCAATGGAAGATGCAGCCTATACGTGGTTCTATGGTAGGGACTCAGTCACTTTATCAAGGCTGGATCGGTTATTGATCTCTGGGGAGTGGGAAGAGAAATTCCCAGATGCTGTTCAGGCGGTTTTAGCAAGGGTCACTTCTAATCATGTTCCTTTAGTTTTGGATTTTGGGGGTTTGAGTTCTCGATGTTCCCCGTTTGGATTTGAGAATATGTGGCTGAGAGCGGAGGACTTCCAAGGGAAAGTTCGGTCTTGGTGGGAGGGAGCAATGGGTATAGGTTAGCCCACTTTTACGTTAGCCAGGAAGTTAAGGACTCTCAAAACTCGAGCTTAAGAAGTGGAATAAGGATGTATTCGGGAATCTTGAATGGAGGAAGTATAGAGTTCTTGCTGATTTTTCTGAGATTGATCGTCTTGAAGAGGGCAGGTGGGGATGTGGAGTCTCTACGTTCTAGGAGAGCCTCATGTTAGGTAGTTTTTGCTGAGATTGCTTGTATGGAGGAGATCTCGTGGCAACAAAAATCACGGGCTCTCTAAGGAGAGTTGGGGAGGTGGTGCGAGCTGAGGTGATGGGCACCTTTCAGGATTTTTATTCTCATGGCACATTTGAGAAATCTCTGAACGCATCTTTTATTGCTCCCATTCCCAAGAAGGGCGGTGCCTCTGATATTAAGGACTT